CCCCCGGCTTTCCTCAGCTACCCTTTCACCCTCGGGGTAGGAACCCCCTCAAGGGGAATCTCACACCCCGCCGCTCCCGGCTGCCCAGAGAAATCCTCGCTCGCTTTTCTACGCTGAAGGCTTGTTTCATTGTCACCCATCAACGGCTAGCGGCTGGGGTCACTCCAGCAGCGTAACCCCCTAGCCTGGGCAGGGAAAGCCAGGGCAGGGAAAGCCAGGGCTGGCACCAGCAGGACCAGCATCAAGCAGAGGCCAGCCCCACTTGGGGAAGTCACAGCTCGCCGTTTCCTAGCAGGATTTGCAAGGAAATTGCTTTCAATGCTAAGTTCTATCTTCCAAACGGAACTGCCTGAAAGGGGCGCTTCCCATTCCATTCAGATTGCTGCACTGGGGGCTTGTAGCCCCGTGGCCGAATTTCTCCCTAGAGCGTGATTCTGAAAGCATCTAAGATCTCCTAGGTTTCCTCCCACGCTCTGTGACTTGGCCCGGAGCCAACCACCACAACATCCCGTCTGGTATTTTAATCGTCCCCCACCATACCCTGGGGATGCCAATTATATCCATTTCCTGCTCCCCAGATGAGCATCCCAGCTCAACCATTTAATCATATTAGCATATAGACAGCTTTACTCGCTGGTCCTGACACGAGTGAGCCCCCGGGTCCAGCTTCCAAATGCTGAGTGCTGTGTCCGGAGTGGCAGGCAGAGCGTTCGCACATGGGATGGAGCAGGAGGAAGAGGCAGCTGGACCATTATCTACGTGGGCAGGTCAGAGGTTAGCAGTGGTTGTGTCCAGACTCTTGTTCCGCACTGTCCCCTTAACTGATGCGTTCCCCCAGGGGAAGTTGTTGCTGAATTCGCACAATGCCATAGTTAAGGGCCAACAGGCACTGGCCCCGTGTTCGCCCACCCTGGAGAGTTTTGCTCTTTGACTCGGCTGTTACATCCCCACCAAGCATAAAACTGTAAGCTCCTTGGGGCAGGGAACATCTCCTGTCCTGGGTTTGCACAGCATCTAGTACAGCAGGGTCCTGGCTCTAGGCTGGAGCTCAGAGGCGCTATCATAATACAAACAATAAATAACAACAACAAATGGAAAGGAGAGGGTAAGAGGCAAGTTCTCATGACCTGAGCACCCCCTCGCGGCCAGAGGTCATCCTGCGGCACCCTGCCTCTGTTTTTCCTCCCCTTCAGGGCCCTATAACAACTCCCCATCCCCAGACAGTTCGAAGAAATCCCCCACTAGTAGGCCTCAAGCCCAATTCAGTGTCTCTCTCCCGACTAATTGAACACAAACTCACACAGGCTTCATTCTGCCGGCCCTTTGCTGTCTCTGCCAGGCCTCCCTGCCTGGAGAGCTTCCTCCCACTCTTCCCTGATGGTTCCGGGCCCTGCAGGAGCCTTTTTGCTCCCTGCAGTATATGCAAACCTAGCTGTAGTCTCCTACGCTTCCCCCCTTCACTGCAGCTTCCTGCTCTTTTTCATAGGGACCACCTGGTTCAGCCCAGGTGTGGCTCATTCTGTAATCAGGGCTGCCTTAGGGCAGGGCAAGCCCACCTGTTCCACAGTGCAATCTAAAGGGAAAACCAGACAAAACCAAGAGCCAGCAGCATCAAGGGAATCCGGTGACCCCCTTCCCCCAGCTAGCTGAGTTGCAGTTCTTGGCCAGGTACACTTGGCATTTATATAGTCCTCTACAGGCTCAAAGCATCAGACAAATACAAGCTAACTAGGAGTGCGGCAAACTGTTTTCCCGCTGATCTGGTCTCCTGATCTTCTGCACCCCACTGCAAAGATTTATTTCCTCCAAGACACCACCTCCATTAAAAACAGCAGCAAAATGACTGGCTGTGTTCTAAGGAGGGTTTGCCCTTTGCACAGCCCCTTCCGACTGAGGATTTCAACGTGCTTCAGACAACGAAGTTAGCCTGGTGAGACAGGTCACCCCACTTTACTGGAGGGGAGTCAAAGCATGGAGCAGCCAAGTGACCTCTCCAAGGTCAGCTAGGAAGTCCCGAGGCAGAGTGGGAGACAGGTTTCTCATGCTCTGACCCCTCTCCTCTCAATGTATGTGTGTGACACCCAGGTGGGGAGAAGAGAGATGACAGCATCCTCCCAGCAGACAGCTGCTAACTCGCATTAAAAGGTTACCCTCCATGATACGCTGCTCAGATAAAGGCAATTCAGATCATTTCCTGTTCTCACCCCAACCCTTTGCTTTTCCCCTCTGCTGTCAGGAAAGGCCTGACTGAGGCTGGCAAAAGCCTGCTGCAAAACAAACCAACCACCCAGCCTAGTGTCCCCACCTCTGAAACAAGGAGTTGTAGAAGAATTACTAAACACTCGGAGGATTTGGCTAAGCTGCACCCCCTGGCTCACGACTACAGACAGGGGAGTGGCTGGCCCTGTCTCACTAAGTCATAATTTTGGCAGCACTAGGACGTGCCTCTGATGTATCTCTGAGACACAGGCAGATGGCCTGCCCCATAGATGGTGCTGATCAGCACAGCTGCATGGGCTGCAATAGACCCGCAGCGATCTGCACCAGCTGAAGATCCAGCCCACTGGACTTATTTTCAGGCCCCAATCCCAGTAAGTGGGTCCCTAAATAATCCCTGTACGCGTCAAGCTTGTATACCTGTCACTCTGCCCCCACCAGTCCCTTTGGCTGCCATGCCCTGAGGCTGAGAGGGGTGTGTGTGTGTAAGTAAAATGACCTCTCCAGTAAATTCTGACTTAATTAGCAACCCTGAAAACAACAGGGGAAAAAAAACTAAGCTCTTGGTGACAGGGGCCATCTGTTTGCACAGCGCCTAGCACAATGGGGTCCTAGACTATTTCTGGGGTGTTAACGATAATACAAACAACAACAACAACAGACAACCTGCAAAGGACTCCCCTCTGACAAGTACAGGCAGCAGGTGCTTTCCTCTCACCAACAGCTAGGCACCGATGTTTAACTCGGCAGCGACTAACTGCAACCTGCGATTTAATCTCAAATTCCAGATCCTCTTTCTGAAAGGGATTATGGAGTTGTGGCTGTCGGTTACTTGCTTCAACACTCGTCTTACAGCAATGAGCTAAACATTTGCTTGCATAAACCAGTTCACGGGCTCCAATGGCCATTATACGAAGCGCAGTTCTCCAGGACCTGTTCAAAGCTTTCCCCCCACCCTGGCAATCTCAAACTCGGCCATTTGCCTTGAACCCTTCCTACGCTCCACCCCCTCAATATTTTGCCTTTAATGCAAAGGGACAGGCATACCCAGCATAGGAGCTAAGTGAATCTCATTCCAGAGGTGCGGCCGGCCAGCCGGGCCCTAACCACACCTAGAGCAGGCCCGGGAGAACGGAAGAGTTAATGCGCGTTCACAAGAGACCGTTGGCAGTGGCGGTTCTAGGGCTCCCCATTTAGGAGAACAAAGAATTTGCCGAAAGCGGCAGTCACGTTTCCCATGCACTGCAGGAATTTCTAAATGGATGCACCACAGCTGCAGCAATTTGGTGCATTATAAAGCTATATAATCAGTGCTCTCCCCCTTCCCCTGAGCTATTAGCGGCTAAACAGGCTGCAAAGCAGCCCAGAGTATTTTGCCCTGGAGCCACCACTGTTAGGAAACCTCCTGTTCTGAAGGGCAGAGATCTTCTACGGCTATTGCATCCAGGCACTCTGTACAACGGACTATTACACACACCACCTCCCCGGCACAGTCTTCCTGTAACACTCCAAATCCCTGGCTCCCTAGCATGGGCTTACAGGGAACACTGTACTAGACAGAAGTATGGTCTTGTTGACCGGGTACTGGACTGGAAATCAGGAGACCTGGGTTCTATTCCCAGTTTGGCTGCTGGCTGACCTTGGACAAGCCACTCCACTCCTGTGCCTCTGTTTCCCCAGGGGAGATAAATGATGCTGGCCTCCTTTGTAAAGCGCTTTGAGGTCTACTGATGAAAGGCGCCAGACGCTATTTTTAACTTGGCCCTGTGCATAAACAGCCCAAAGAGGAACCTCTTGCTCCGTAATGAAAGCGGGAATCTGCAAAATTCGTTACGTGGCTGGGTCTCAAAGCCTTAGCATGTGGGGTGGCTGCCCGCAATAGGCTGGGAGTCTGGAATAGGCGTCCCAAGACTACAAGGACGTGTGCTGGGATGTGTCCGCCTCCTCACTCGCGGAACCAAACCATCATCCCCCGCAGCACTTCCCGCTGTGGCTCTTTCCAGCCACAGACTCCAAAGTGCTTGACAGGAAAGGACAAGTATCACTAGTCACGTTTTACAGATAGGGGAACAGACAGGTGAGATGACTTGCCCTCGGTGTCAGTGAGTAGATAGCAAAGTTGGGGACAGAACCCAGGCGTCCTGACTCTCTGTCCAGGATCCTGCCCACTGCACTACATTGGGGAGGAGGTCATATGCCCAGTATGGCTGTTTCGGCACCACTATCCCCTTTGAAAAATAATCAGTGCATAGAATAGAAGGCACTCGATCTGAGCACCCTACCAGCTTTATATTTAAAGGTGGGAACCAGGCAAAGCCCATGAGCCAAGCACCAGGAGAAGTTTGGACCCAGGTCTGAATTCGACAACGCAGCTTCATCTCCGCTTATAACTGCCCTCAGCATAGAGGGACGTCAGCTGGCTACAGTAGCCTACCCAGACACAATGCAGCCATTAGAGGAACCTCGTCCCAGCTCCAGCCTCCCAAGCTCATCCCTGCCCAGCCAACCTGGGGAAAGACACTTTAGCCAAGAAGTTGATCCAAAAGCTACCACTGGGCTCGAGATCCTGGCAAGTCAGGCATCAAGGCTGAACAGGGAGCTGAAGGCCATTCAGCATTTAAGTGGCTATGGCCACCCAATCAAGCTGCCAGGCAGCACCCCAAACCACACTCTCTTCCAGCCATGCTGCTGAAGGACCGGCTTTGCTCAGCAGCCATCCCATGGGATCCTTTGGTCTCCCACTGTACAGTTAAACAGTGAAGCCGATGACTTGCAGCCCTTACCCTTTCCTTGCCGCTGATTTCCAGCTGGATCTCTTTCTCCCGCAGCTTCTTCCACTGAGCGTAATACTTGGTCAGAGGCGTCCCCTCCTCCTTGACCTGCTTCTCCCATTGTTCCTGGGGGGGGGGGGGGGGAGGGAGGCAGAAGACAGACGTTAGGCCAGGACCAGAGGTGTTCAAAGAAGGCTTTATGTAACACAGCAAGGCAGAGAGCAGGCCCTAGGCTGACAAAGACTGCAGACCACAGTCCTAGGTCCTGGTCCAAGCAGACACAGCCCACTGGACTGAGCCACCTGGGAACCTAGATTCTACATTGCAGAGCAAGGGCAGGGCGAAGTGTAAATTCAGAAGAGTCATTTAAGGCAACCACAGTATCACACATAGCATTATGGGGTCCGTCACACAGCAGAAAAAAACCCAGACCACCCCATCTTAGCACATCTCGGCATCTGGGTCCACAGATTCAGGCTCGCCCAGGCTCTAAAAGTAGCCACAGAGACGTTCCTGCTTGGGCTATGAAACCCGGCGAAGCGATGAGTCTCAGACCCTGAGCAGGAACATCTACATGGCTGTTTTTCGTGCCACAGTCCACGCCTGAGTCTGTAGACCTGGGGTCAGAGACCCATTGCTGAGGATTTGTTGGGGATTTCCTCCCCCGCAGTGTAGACATGCCCATTGATATAAAGGAGAGGGACAAGATTTTCCCCGAGCGACTGCTAGTTTTGGGTGCTCAGCTGGCAACACCTGAAAGGGGCCCAATTCACAGGCGCTCAGCACTTTCCAAAATCCACACCCCTCTTAGGTGCCAAGCTGGGCAGCCCAAAAATCACTGGTCACTTTGGAAATTCTGGCCCTTACAGTCAGAGTTCAAACAAATACCCTTCGTATCCACAGTGGAGATACAGCCCGTGAGACCAGCACAGGGGGCTTGGCAAAGGAAGAGATCTGCAGGGGAATGCTAGACACACTAGGGACTTTGGGAACTGTTCCACACAGAGCAGCATCCATACACTAGAACATGGGACAGTGGGGTTCAGGCATAACCTCAGGCCAGAGGATTCAAGCCTAGTGGCCTAAAGTTTTTGTTCCTAAATCCGTATTTCGGCACCTAACAGAAGCAGCCGGATCCTCAACGGTGCTGAACACTTGCAGCACTCATTGGGCATCTCTGAAAGTCGGCTCGCTTCTATTTAGGGACCAATTGTTAAGCTCTTGGGCCTGGAGGACTCCATGGGTCCGGGGGAGAAGAGACAGAGACAGACACAGTAGGCCGACTTCAGCAGGATTTCTGTTCCTTTCATTTCTGGGAACTGTTGGGGCAAATCTGGTCCCCTAAAACTGTTTTGTATGAAGCTTTTTAAACAAAAAACCCACCTGCATTTGTAAAGCATAAATCTGACAGACATTTGCCTGGTTTGTTTTTAATTCTATTGCTAAAGTGTTTGGTTTTTAAACAAACATTCCCCAGCAGTGTCTGTCACCCAAACATCACAGCCCTGAGAAAGCAGAAAGCAAGACCAACTAATCTATGTTCGCTGTCCAAGAAGGGAGAAACAGGAGAAGTCTCATAAATAGTGGGAAGTAAATTAGATGGTTAAAATGTCTTTCGGCTTTGATCACCTGGCGTGTGATCGGTAAGAGGACCCGTTCAATTCAAATGCATTCTTTTTCATCCCTTTGCATCCCTTTGCCATAGATCCCACACAGATCGGAGCCTTGCCATCTGTACTATGGGAGCACCCAGAGGTGCTGCACCAGCACGTGGCGAAAGGCAGCCTAATGCAAGACGGGAGACCACCAGAAGGGACTGGCGAAGGAGGACAAGGGAAGGAGCGACAGGGATGTGTGGTCACACAGAGCCATTCAGGACCCAGCGGGGAAGGAGGGCGATCCAGACTCAAGCGTCACAAGCAAACACCGGCACATGCTGAGCAGCTGCATGGCAGGTTCGGTTTCTGGCCATGGCAATGCACAGTCTCCAGGGGCATCGGTTTTCAAACTCCATGCTTCTGTTTGCAGGAAAGTCAGGTTGGCCTTCTGGGAGCAGCTCATCACAACTCAGCCGCGACAGCACATGGGCTGCTGGCGTCAACCGGGGCACAGGCCACCGGGGAAAAGTACGTTTAAAGAGTAATACATTGCCAAGACAAGACAGATAAAGAGAGAAGAGAGACAGCAGCTCCTCAATTTGCAGCAGGCAAGATCCTCAGCTGGTGGAAGCCGGCATGTATCTACTGAAGACTTCAATGGGGCCACAGCAATTTGCACCAGCAGCTCAGGAACGGGCCCGTAGCAGAAAAGGGAAAAGAAGAAGCATCCGTGGTCTCTGCGCCATGAACAGCACTTTGGTAAATAAATGGCAGCTGGCTTGTCACACCCACATTCCAACGTTCTGAAATCTATTCATTGGGGAGAGTTGGGGGGGTTTCATCTCCTTCCTCTGAAGCATCAGTGATGGCCCCATCTGGAGATGGGGTATGGGAGAGAGTGGGCCAGGGCTCTGAGGTGGCACCAAGCATTCGCCAACACAGGTGCTTGTCTGGCGGGTTCTCGCTCACGTGCTCAGGGAATAACTGATTGCCATACGTAGGGTCAGGATGCAATTTCCCCCCAGGTCTGAATGACAGTGACCTTGGCCTTGGGGGGGTTTCCACCTTCCTCTATAGCATGGGGCACAGGTCATTTGCTGGGATTATCTGGGTATCTCTCACTTCATTCTGGTATTGGCACACCTCGCTCTGTCCTGTTCTCTGTGGCACATCCTGGTTCAATCTCCTGGGGGCTCTAATACTCTGGTCCAATTCTGCTTGTTGGGTTTAGTTCGTGGGTGCTGGATAGTGTTGGTGGCCTGTGATACACAGGAGGTCAGACCAGATCTGGTGGTCCCTTCTGGCCTTAAACGCTATGATTATACACCCAAGAATAGGGACGACAGCATCAAGCCAAACAGCCCCTTTCGGGTAACGATGGGCCCCAAGCTTATACCACCCTTTTGGAACGTTGGAAACACACGGCTCTGGACTGCGTGGCTTGAGTCCAGGCCTGCTTGCCAGTTATCTCCTCTGCTCTTCAACACGCTGACAGACACTGTGGTCTCTGGTGACGCACGCCAGCAGACAGGCCTGTTGTCAGAAGGCTCCACTCTGCTTTCAGTCCTGTTCGTCACAACAGCAAAAGTGGCAGAGTTGTCGTCCTTATGCACAGATCAGGGCTGCTCCTGGCTTCCAGCCAGAACTGAGCATTTCAGCAAAGCCTCCAACCTTCTCATGGAGGGAGGCTCTTTGTTCTGTCCAGTGTGCCGAGACATCTATTGCTTTTAATTGGTGAAGGACCGGGAGGGCACGAAAATAATGAAAATACTCCCCTTGACTTTTCATTCTGAACCTCAATGGAAAAAGTTGAGCAGGTCAGACACCAAGTCCATCCCAGCTGCTTGCAATTCTCTTTCCCTCCAGTACTATTAATTATTTGGGACAAGGGGTGCCGAGCATGGATCGGGACCCCATCATGCTAAACCCTATACAAAACACGAAGGCAGTCCCTGCCCCAGAGAGCTTCCAACCTAAGTAGGGGGCAACAGGCAACCAGCGAATGCAAGACATGGGGAGCCCAAGGAAACAAAATGACACTGGTCAGCAGAGGATGCAGCAGTCAGTCATTCTTCATTTACTGGGACAAAGATGGAAAAGCCCAAAGTGGTTGATGCCATCTTCCCTTAGCAGGGCACTTCCAAAACTGCGTCAGGCTCTCAGGCCTCTTTTAACATCTTGTTTCTGAGCCCTGAACCCAAACCCGTGAGATGCCAGCAGCACGGTGATGACCACGGTCTTGTTTATTCGTGATGTCAGCACTGCTCTAAGGACAGCATCGCTCCTACAGAAAGTCACTGACTGGTCCAGGACCCTTCCTGGGTCACAGGGACCTTTGTGAGTGGGTTTTAATAAAACACAGAGCATGCTCAGATGCCACGGCAAGGAGTATGGTGAAAGAACCTGCACAGGTGAGACAGCCTGTGCCCCCACGTGGGGACAGAAGCCATTATATGGGCCCTAACCCTGCCATCCCAGCTGGGGATCTAGTCTCAGACCTCCTGTCCTGTGATGGCAGCTGGTTCCAGGGCCACAGATGTTCTTAGTATCAAAGTTCCCTGCATTTTCCCTGCTGAAAGTGAAGCCCATGACTTCTGGTCTTGCCCTCAGACTGAAGGTACCAGCTGATCCCCATTCTCTCCAAAGTGCCTTTATGGTGGGAGGGGAAGGAGGGATGCATTTGCTCTCTCCCCCCGCCTCTTTTCTCTGTGCTGAACCTCTCCTAACCTTTGCTCTCCAAGCCCCTTCCACTGGTTTTGCAGCTTTCCTCTGAACTCTCCCCGCCCTTTTCCACCTTTTCCCCAGGAATCAGGAGACTAGCGAAAAACCAGAGGCCGAGCACAATGGATGAGAGGGTCCGGAGAGAGGGACAGTGCCACGGCAGAGGCTGGCTGTGCTGGGAAAGGTCTCAGGAGCAGCTCATTTTCACCAAGGTGTTCAATGGAGTCCCCAGGCGAAAGGGAGCAGGGAACAGCCGCCGGCGCAGGAGATGGAGCTTTCTCGGGGGCCAGTCCAAGACCGTGGAACAGACTCTCACAAGGACCATCACAAACCGCACCACCTTTCCATCCAAGGGCCAGACGCTCTTCTCCGACCTGCCTTCTCTAATACAAACACAGCAGAGTGGACAAAACAAAACCCAGAACTCTCCCAGAGTGTAAGAATCATATGTGCTGTCAAGATGAGACAGAACGAACCCGAAGTGCCGACGTTACTCCCGTCACTTATCGACCTACTGGAAGGTGCTCAGATAGCCGGCTGAGGACGGCGGGGTCAGAACCTCTACAGAACAGAGTAAGTTTATCCTGGTTTCAGACAGGCTGGCTATCTTTGCAGAGACATAGCTGCAGGCCCCGGTGCGCTAATTCCCCTGCCTGCATTTCATGTCACTGCACCAGAGACCCATACCGGTGCCAAGGAGTCTATGGCCAGGGTTGGCACGCTGCGCTCCGGGATTAAGAGTTAGCGGCAGGCTCCGTTCTCTGCCTGGCTCCCCCCAGTAAAATATTCATTAATACATTAATCCTATTAGCATCAGAGTCGGCTTCTCAAAGCAGCCTGGGCTCTGGAATATTGCACTTAAAAAAAGATTTAACGTGAGTCATCACCCATGATTCAGAGTTGGATGGGGGCAGGCGAGCAGACATCCAGCATGGCTGCTCCCCCATGGCAAGCAGCTCACGAAGATGCAAAGGGTAGTTTAGCAATCGAAGCATCAGGTTTGACGCCTCTATTCTCCCTTCAGTTGCAGGTTCAAATCCTGGCAGGCCTCCCAGTGTCCTTTAGAAGAAGATAATCTAGGCCCATGCAGTACAGCAGAGATGGGTGAAGCTCAAAGTTTTCCCAGACACACTCGATACTCCCGGGGACTGCAGAAACATCTTCATGAGACAAGTCACATTCATGAACTTTATTCCTGTAGAGCTGTTCCACACAAATCCACATCTCTTAAAAAATAATTCTGCTCTGCTAAAGAGCCGCCTTTGAATTGAACCAGGCTGGGAAAAGTGCAGTCCCTAGAGATACAGTTTAGTTCTAAGCGGAATTTTTCTCTGCCCCTTTTTCTGTCACTCTCTGAGTTTGTTTTCACTTGGCCCCTTCTCTTCTCCATTTTTTCCTGATCCTTTCCCCGCCCAGCACGCAGTGGATTGCTTTTCTCTGCTCCCTTCTCATCCTCTCCCCTAAGCAAGATGCAAAGCTAAGAAGAGTCTGAGATGAACTTTCCGAGCCCATGAGGTCAGAAGGGGTGGATGGTGAGATGAGTTTGCCTATCCTCTGGGCAGGGCCTTTTGTGACAGAACTTAGAGCTGGGGCCTTGTCTGATCTGTGTGGCCACTATTAAGTTACAGTAGCGTCTAGAGGCCCCAACCAAGATTGGGACCCCACTGTGGTGGGTGCTGCGCACACACCCAATGATGGACAGCCCCTACCTGAAGAGCTTGGTTTGAACAGAGAAGACGAAGGGTGGGAAGCAAAGCAGAGAACAGGGAGGTAAAATGACTCCCCCAAGGTCATACGCAGAGCCAGGGAGAGAACCAGCCTCGCGGTGTCCAGTCCAGTGTCCCACCCGACTCCAACATGCTGCCTCTGTTAAACAAGCTCTTCCCAGGACAGCAGGAGTTACTCCATGTCCAGGGGCAGGACTCCCCCGGCTCTGCAGCAAGCTGGTTAGCAGCTGCCTCGGTGGGGTGGTTGTTTCCCTGCTGTGGCACGAAGAGCAAGGGAAGCGGGCGGTCAGACAGGCCTGGGGGGAAGGTACCAGGGCTCTGCTTGCTGCTGCTGAGCATGCGACCCAGTAACATCCCCCTTCCCCCCCGCCTGGCACATGTGCATGGACGGGAATTCCAGGGAGCATTTGCTCTCAATTGCTCCTGCTGGCAAGGGAGACAAACAGATGTTTGGCCTCCCTTCCTCCACCCTCTCTGGCAGTGATTTGCTGCCACATACATTGCGAGGTTGGAGGCAGGCCGGTGAACTCAACCCACATGCAGAGGGGCACAGCAAGCCTTTCTGGGAAGCCAGGCCCCTGCGCTAGATCGGGCTCTTGCCCCTTCTCGGAAATCAACACCATCTCTTCGCAAGGACTCCATAGAGGACTCTGAACTGCTCCGCATGTGCATGAGAAGGGCCATCATCCCCTTCCTCCCCCAGGAGCGCAGTGTGCACCCGCCGCTCCCCCCATTCCCAGCGGTCGATGCTGTTCCACTAGTAACTGCTAACATGCACAAGGAGGCACAAGCTACGCCCCCCCGTTCCTCCTCGGGCAATGGCTCCCACCTCTCCGTGGTGCAGAGAGCAGCAATCACACATTCTGCTGGGAACACAGGCATCCCTGCACAGCGGAGCCATAAGCTGCTGCTATACCTCTTTAAACTCTCAAAACAACTCTGAAGCTTGCATACCCCTGAAGCTTGCATGGAAATCGAGTGCTCCCCTACGCTTCCCAGTGCAGTCCATGTGCCGCTGCACTTCGGGGGTCAGCCCAGACTGACTCTTGCCCCTTTCAGCAGCCAGCCGCTGCAGATGCGATATATAAACCAGGCGCTGCGCAGGCAACCAAGTGTTAAAATTAATTATCTTGTTCTGATAAACCAGGCTGCAGCCTGAGCTGCTGGGAGCAAGCAGATAATTGCATAGTTGCTGGAAACCCTTTTTATTTAGCGAATGATCTTACCCGGCCCCGCACTTCGCGGAGAGCCCCAGAGGCTGAAATCTCCACCTCTGTAGAGCGGGTGGGTGGTCACGGCATCGACGGGGGAGGGGGGGTAATAAAATGAAAAAAGCCTTGCTCCAGATGGGAAACCTAATCCCTTTGGCAAGACAGTCCGATCCAGAAAGGCATTTATAGAACCAAAGAATACTTAGTCACTTCAAAACCAGTTCCATCAGCCCCTTAATCCCAGAACAACGCTGCTGCGGCCTGGCGCTGATACACCAGGATTTGAAAGGATAATTTCCCTGCAGTCCACGCAGCTGAGCGTCTGAAGATAAATTTGTCTGCAGTGGAACTCCTGCTCCGTGCCCGGCACTAACAGGTGGAGCCTTTCCCAACACAGATCTTCAGCCAATTCCCATCGGCACAGAGTGGCAAATGCCAGCTCACTCCGACCCCACGGGCTCTTCTGGAGGATGAAATATTTTCACCTCTCCTTCCCTGCCTGGAAGGGAAAGATCCCACCCCAGAGGCCCAACGCAACAGCATACAAAAATCTGTTAAATGGGACAGCAACTGAGAGTCTGGATTCAGAGCGGGGTTTCATATGTTCCAGGTATCAGTGGTGAATGGGTCCCAGGAGAGGGTCTGGCCCAAGAAAGAGAGAAATAAAAATTAACGGGTTCAGGATGAGGGAAGCAGAGTTGAGCTGAATTCCCTGGCCATGCTTGCTCCCCTTTCCCCTCTCTGGGGGCCTAGGTTGGAGCAGACAGGCTACAGACCAAGGGGAGAGATGCTGGAAAGCAGCATCTCCACCACCACACAGCCAAGAACCATTCTCAGAAGAGGTCAGCGTAGGTAAGCCTGAGAACTTGAGGGTAAGAAGATGATGGAATAGAATTTCCACCTCCCCATCCTCTTCCACAATCATGCAAAGCATGTGTCAGTCTTGGTCAAACCAGGATAGGAGGAACTTTCACCCCACAGCCCAGAAAGAGACTGTCCAAAGCTTCTCTCTCTCTCTCACAGCCCCGCTCCTGGCCTCATAGACTGTAAGGGAGAAGGGACCATGGTGATCATCTAATCTGACCTCCTGCACATTGCAAGCCACAGAACCTCACCCACCCCTCCTGTAATAGACCCCTAACCTCTGGCTGAGATCCTGAAGTCCTCAACACATGATTTAAAGACTTTATGTTCCAGAGAATCCACCAGAAGAGACTCACAGAACAGATGTACGGGCTGCTCTTCTAAGACAGGCCCATATTAAAAGGCATGAAAAAGCAAGATTGCATGGGCTCAGAGGATGGGAAATGAGCCAGGGAGCTTCTGATCACTAGGCCAATGGTTTAAATCCAGCCCAGCAGCCGTGGGAAGCTGCCACCACGCAATGGCTGCCTGGTGGCCTGTAAGAAATGAGCCAGGTGGGTCTCTGTCCAGTTCCCAATGGGCAAGTGTCCACTTAGAAGAAAACTGACCATCACCATGACCGGTTCTAGCCACTCCCTTGTTGGACGTCTCACCAGAGAGGATGGAGCTAGAACGGCCCCAGGAAACTGGAACTCCCTTCTCGTGCCTGGAAGGGAAGCTCATCTTTGCCGGGCCAGCTCTGTGCAGAGAGGGCTTTCAAGGTAGGTGACACCTGGCTGCCAACCCCACTGAAGCTAATGGTAAAAATCCCAGCTCCTTCTGCGGGAGCAAAGTGAAGCCTCTCAAAGCCCACCCTCCCGCTTCGGAACCGTCAGCCCTGCCCCCTTCCCGGGCCTTACAGTCCCCACTCTCAGTCTTCTATTTGTAAAGAAAACCCCTCACTGCAGCCACAGCTCGGAGGCCAAAAGCCCCCCGCGCATTCCCTCAGCAGCTGCTGCCTGCACCGGGGTCGATTCCCCACGACGCGCAGGGACGGGGGCCTCTGACATCTCAGGCACCCGCTCCCCTTCCTCTCCGCTCCACGTCCGACTCGCCCCCAAGCTTTAAAGCAGAACGACCCAGGGCACACTGGCTCCTCCAGGCCTTGGTGGCTTTCCTCAGCGTCCAACATAGAGATGTCTACACGCTACGCACAACGGCTCGGGCTGCAGGGGGGGAAACGTCCCAGAGCCCAGCAGTTCTGGAGGCACAATGCCCAGAAGTCCCGCTCTCACAGCCTGCAGCTTATTGCTTGGCACTGATTTTAGACTCCCGTCTCCAGGCGAACAAGGAGAATCTAACCAGGGCACTCAATTTACAAACACAAAGTGCTGGAAATCAGCTGAGCAACAAAGGTATTATCCCGCATCCTGCACCCCGGCCGGAGGCAGGCAGCCAGGGATCATGAGCCAGCAAAGCTCCTAGAGAGGAGGTGAGGTCCCTCCTCCAGCTGTCACTCCTCTGGTGGCCTCCACAGATCTGAAGAGGGACAGGCGAGCTGCAAGAGACTTCTTCAAGAGAAGGCCCAACCGATTACCACTGAAAAGGAGCGTCCCTAATAGGAGCACACATCCTTCTGGTGATCCATAACAACGGGTGTAATTTAGGGACTACGTTTTCCATGATGCTGTTGGCCAGGGAATTTCGCCAGCTACAGTCCAGCGCAGTCCACGCTGTTTTGCAAAAGTCTAACACGCCCCGGGCATACCCATTTCCATGACCTCGCCCCTCCTCCCGCTGCCACAGTCTCAACCCCAGTTGCGGAGTCAGACTGTCTTTCCAGGAAGCTGAAATCAAAGTGGCCAACTCACCACAGCCTCCCTGTTGGCCACACCGAAGGTGGCTTTCTGACGCCGACTGGCAATGTAGGCAGAATTTTCCTGCAACTTCTCCAGGAGCTGCCGGATCGCTTTGCAGTAGTTGGCGATCTTGCATTCCTTCAGGAAAGATTTGAGCTGGAGAGAGAAGAAAGGAAGGGGAGAAAGGCAGAAAATGAATGACATGTAATAGTTTCCATTAAATGATCCCACGAAAAAAACCGCCTCCCTTGGAGAGAGGCAGCAAAGGGCTCCTCGTTCCCTCCGTTCGAAGCCACGGCCCAGCCATTACCCGTCTCCGCAGCCACGGTGCTTCACCCTCGTCTTAACAGATGGACCAATGCACTGGATGTCAGCACGGAGGTCAACTGGCAACGCCTTGCTCAGAGATGGCTCCCGGCATCCCTTATCACAGCTTATATCTGGAGAGGGCATCAAACCATCAGGTTGGAAACTCCTCCACGGCCTGAAACCAGAGCTTCCAGCTGCCGTAGAATCACAACCCACCTGGTCCCTGCTCAGGCACGAGGCAGGACTGGAACACCAAGGGCAGTGGGGGTAGATAGAGGCGCACGAGCAGAACTGGGGAGCCCAGGACTGGAACACGAAGGTGGGGGGGGCAGATAGAGGGGCAGAACTGGACTTCCAAGTGACAGGGGGGGGGGGGAGACGAGACACAGGATTGAGCTGCATCCGGAAGAATCATCTGGGGCGACGTTTACACAGGACCTCCCTGCACCGCCCCCAATTCCAGCCAATGCCTCTCACTTTTCCAGAGTGCAAACCCCACACACCCTCCCCACATCATCTGCAAAATGAACCTCTCTGTGGGCAGCCGTGAGGCCTCCGACTGGCCGATTATTTCCTCTTGGACCCGATGTCTCCTGCGGAACCCTTGGGCTCCCAGCCCGCACAGCTCAGAAACCACAGATGCTGCCGCCTGCCTGCGCAGAGACCCTCCCCGTCACCGAGGAGCAGCCCTGGCCTCCCGCTGGCCAGGAAACAAACTTCGGTTTCACTAGACAATGAGGGTATTTTATTCCAACCAGATCGAGATGTGTTTTTTGCCTGCAGCCTCGTCCTTAAACAACGCCCCCCATCCTGCTCCCAATCCCAACCAGCCCCTCGCACCCCCAGCTCTGCACCCACTCTTTTCCGGCTCAACTCCGCCCTCCCCCAAAGACGAGCGGAGGCCATGTCCCTGTCCCTGCTGGCAGAGGGCTGCAGAAGCAAGGTGGACGAACTGACAAGTAGATTTCCTCCCAGGTACATTACATTGCTTGCCAAATGCTCCCGCCCTCGGCAGAGAGGAGCTCTCCAAGGCAGGCTCCTAGCCAGAGCCACACGCAAAGAGAAACCCCCCCAGGGCAGACAAATGGCTAACCGTCAGGGAATCCAAAGCAGAGGGTGAAAGGCCAGCGGGTCGCTTCCCCTGCAGTGCATAGGCCTCGCTAACCTGCGGCCTCTGAGCCGAGAGTCAGCGTGGTCCAGCAGTGAGAGCAAGGAAAGGGCAGTCAAGAGATCGGAATTCTAGTTCCAGCTCTGCCACTGACTCGCTGAGGGACCTCGGGAGAGTCACACAACTTCCCTGCCTCTGTTCCCCCATCCATAAAATGAGGCTCATTCTGTAACTGCCTAATGCAAAGGGGGGTGTTGGGAGGGTTAGATCAGTTAATGTCCATAGCGAGCTTGGAACAGGTAAAGCAACCTGGGGGACAAAGTACTACACTACCCAGCTAACAGCTCTGAAGCACACACAGGTGTGGGGCAGAGGCTTGTTTTACTTTGATTTCACACACTCGTTACTTAGAGTGGGATAGGGCCCCAAAGGCAGGACTGCAAAAGCCACTCCCACCTCACTCTGATCAACCAGGGAGTTGGGAAACTGCCGGAACTGAGGAAGAGGATGGGCTGAGAGGAAGGATAGGCTTGAGGTTCAGGCACTGGACTGGAGATCTGGGTTCAGTTCTTGGTTTCGCCATAGACTGCGTGCATGACCTTGGGCAAGTCACTTAGTCTCTCTGTGCCTCAGTTTCCCCTCTGACCTTTTGTCTCAGCTATCTTTGGAGCGGGGATCGTCTCTCTAAGTACATACAGCACCACGTGCAATGGTACCCTGATCTCGGCTGGGGCCTGCAGATGTTACTGTAAGACAGATCACAAGTCTCCGATTGACCAACTCGGTCTTTAGAAGTCCTGCGTGAGGACAATAGAGAAGGAGAGGTCAGTCCCACAAACTGCATCCCTCGGGAGGCAGGTACCCCTGTGACCGAGAGGTGACACACCTGCTCTGTGCTCATGTCCCCCACCGCTGGCAGCCCGCACAGCACTGCAGGAAAAGCCAGTCATTGGCTCAAGTTTGCTACGCACATGGTGAATCCTCTCCCGTCACCCTAAAGCACGTCCCTCCGTTGCACACCTCCACTCTATCCCCCATATTCTACACGATCCTAAGTTCTCCTTCAACCTCAGAAACGCCAGGGTTAATATATGTTGCTTGCCCTCTCCCTAAAGAGGTGTTTAAAAACCGGTCAGTAAAACAGCTTTTCTGCTGCTCAAATCCCCCCAACTCCTCCTAAAATATGTATCTTTAGGTGCTGCATATTTATCTTCTCCCAGGGATGCATTTGTCATTTTATTTATCTCGCCGGATCCCCGCAGCTGCAGCTCGAGATCCATTTCATCCGTTGCGATGTACATTATCATTTTTCTTTTGCTGCAGAAGTGTCGCCAGAAATCCTGCCAAATCTCAAGCCCTATCTGTGCAGTTCAGCGCGGCTTGTTTGCTCCCTTCCCCGCCATCCCGCCCCCTCCCTGTTCCCCTGCTATCTGCCTCGGATATTAACGAGAGGTAATGAGATCTCAACTCCAGCTCTGGCTCCTGCGTTAAAAGACGGAGACAACCCAGAAGGCTGGAGCAGACAGAGAGGAGGGAGCGAGTGGGTGAATGTGTGTGTGCGCGTCTCCACTTCGCCAAATCGCACAATTGTATCTTCCCAGAATATGGGAAGCCAAGGGGTGCGTGTGAGAGACAAGCGACATCTCGCACCAGCTCCCAGCTAAGCAGCCCTGTGATTAGCAGGATTGATTCTGTCAGCCTGCCACGCCAATGGTTTACACCAGCGGAGACCACAGCAAAGAACACCATTCTCCTTACTGGAAAAGATGCAGGGAGCTATAAATGATCTGAAGCAGCCGGGCTTGTGTGTTCCAGGCAAACCAACCCAACCCCAGCCCGCCACCCCAAAAACAAAGGAACGAGAGCATGCAAGCCAGAGCAGAGAGGAAGGCAGCTGGAGCAGCACATGGCAAGGACAATCCACAGTTCCTGCCCTTCTGCCGAGCCACAGATGATGCCCTCCCCTGCCTGTCCCCCGGCCCTCGTTCTGGTGGCTGTCCCCTTTTCCCGTGCCCTTGCTGTGTGTTGCTTTCCCTCTGGCAGAGGGCTAGGGAAGGTACAAGCAGCCTCCTCTAAAGTCAGTTCTGATTCTAGTCTGAGAACCAGACTGCAGGGCGTGCCCAGAGGCAGCCAGACCGGCACCTCATCAGAAGGGGGCTTAACCCTCACCGCCAACCCACAGCCTCCCCACCGGTCACTCCCGAGGCGCTGGGCAGAAGAGAAGTCTTTGAACCCCCTCCATCCTGCTGGCTCCACTTCCCTTTGATCTGCCCTCGTGCTTCCTGCTTTCCGGGCTGTCAAGTTCCGTTTGGAGTCGGTTCAGCCGAGCTTCTCCCAAAGCCACGGACCGGCAGCCGCAGAACCCGCCCTCTGCCAGCAGGACTCTGGTCCCAGCGCCAAGGCATTAGGAGGAGGTGAGCTCCAAGCGCCAGGAGGAGGGATTTTTAATCACCGAGTGGAGGTGTCCCAGGGACATGGCCTGCCTCCTGGGACCTCGGCTTCTGGAAATGCAAACCCAACGCCCAGGCCCAGCAGACACACTGAGGCCGTGGTCAGCGGTGGCTACGCAGGAAATCAACAGGATGTTCTATCCAGGCGCTTGTTCCACCACACTGCACACACAGCACTAATTATCTGCAGAAAGGCAGGCTAGGATGTGGGGTGTCTGGAAGCTACAGGGCGCTTGGTGCCAGGGGCCTGAGGGACACGCTCCATTCCAGCCACAGCACCAGCTCTGGATGGCTTTGAGGCCCTCAGCAGCTGCTGGAAACGACGCAGGGAGCAAAAGCTTTCATGCGTCTCTTGTTTATCAGTAAATGAACAGGCAGGAGCGAGCACGGGAGCTGCTATCCTAGCGCAGAAGAGCCCATCCGCCAGTGGCAGCTAGGCAAGGGCCTAGCCAGATTCCAGGCACCCAGCCCATCACCCCATGCCTGGCAGGTGCTGGTCTGCAACACTGCAGCAAGGAGCAGATACGCCTCTCACAGGGCCAATGGTTCCCACACTGAGAAGTCACCGCCAGATCAGCCAGAGGTGTCATAGCAACCAGGTGCATGGTCACTCACTAGCCAATGGTGTCTAAGCAGAGCAAAGATGCTTGCAGTACTGCGCAACGTGAGGGCAGCAAACCAACGCCAGTTCCCATACGCCACCCATCAACAGGGAGTTAAAAAAGGGAGCCGAGGGGGAACAGAGAGAGAGCAACATGTTCACTGAGCTCGGAGCGAAATTTAACTGTTCAGAACCAGTGACCCGCTGATACCTAAATACAAGCCATCCGGCTCTCCCGCTGCGCCAGGTATCAGCTGACACATACAAACGCACCCGGGCGACACCCATCAGAAGGCAGGGCAGTGCGCCGGAGAACAGGGCTTGTTTGCAAGGGGACAAGGAAAGAGCACCGCTTCGTGGCACGGGCGCAAGGGGCCATGGGGAGGGACAATAAGTCCTGCTACATGTGCGAGGGGAAAGGGGCACGTGTGTTATTTTGTGGTGGGTGAAAGAGGAAGGGCTGGAGGAGAGAGCCCCATCTTGGGGTGGGCGCATGAGGTTCTGTGGGGCAGGGAAGCACGTCACCTCATGGGGCACAGCTACTAACTCATGCCTGTTCTGGGAAACCCCATGCTGCAGAGCTAGAGCACCCAGAGCCAACCTGCATTCATCAGTCACGAGGACACATCTGCAGTAATTAGATGCCCCTTTGTACCGCTCCCACATCTCCCAGGGGAGATGTGAAATACAGAACTACCTCCTCACCCACTCTCATCCTCCTGCTGCCTTGAGACTTCCCTTTGCCCACAGCCCCTGAGTGAAACCAGGGCCAAAAACATCTGGAGAAATGCCAAGGGAAATCACCACTGTGAGAAAAGAGAGACCCCCTCCCACCAGCGCCGTTTCAAGCCTGCCCCAAATTCGCATGCCCCTAGCACAGGAAAGTGCCTTACTTGAATGACAATCGGCAGGGTCAGCTCTGGGAATCCGATGCTGTGGGCTTGGCCATGGAGATATTCGAGCGTCAGGTCATACAGCTGCTCAATGAGGCCATCCTGGGTAAGGGGGGTGTGGAAGGAAAAAGAAATCAGATAAAAACCAAATCCCAAGCCGCCTGCACTCTGCCAGGGCCCTGAGCTCTCTGGGGCCAGGGCTCTGTGCCACCTGGGGTCCTGTGGGTGGAAGAGAAACAGATGAGGATGCTAGGATGTGAGATGGGCCCATGTGAAGATCTCTCTCAGTACGCAGACCACAGAACAAGCCACCCTAAGAGGTGACACTGGACGCACTGCTCATGCCTTCTTGTGCCTCTGTCACCCCAGCTGAACCGGGTACAAGCTCCATGTGGAATCCAGAGGCATCGGAGCTGGGGAAATAAACCCTTAACAAAATCCACCCCGGTGCGTAGCATTCACACAAGGTTCATGCGCTTGGCAACATTCAGGGCACACCCGGAGTGTTGTGTAGGAGCAGTGCACACACGGCTCCTCTCAAGGGCATGAACCTTGAAATCTCGCCCAAATGACATGAACCGTGAAAAGCCTCCCAGGACTGGTCTCGGGTCTCAAGGCCTGAGACCAAAAAATGCGGTAAATAAATATTGGTAAATAAAAATATTATACAAAGCCAGTGTATTCCTTTTATTTGTTGGAGTATGTAATGCGCCGGGGGAGAGAAAAAAATAAAGGAGAGGGTGGAAAAGCTGACAGGCAGACCAGCCTGCTTGCTTGCTTAAAGCTTGTCCTGTCTTGTATTTGAACCGCAACACCGGTGCAACCATGCTGACTTCAAAGGAGCTGCCTAGGGATTTGTTTCGCTCACTCTGTACTAGGCATTAGAGCATGAACCCTGGGGTGGAAGGCAGGGGGAGGGAGGTTCCATGTGACAGGTAAGGGGGTGCCACATACCCGGAATGCCTTCTCCTGCAGGTTAGCATTGGACAGCTTCAAGATGACTGCAAAGTTAATGGGCTTGGCACTCATGCGGCCTGGCTTCTTATTGAAATCCACTTGCTGGAAAATCTGCAACAGAAGAAAATCCGGTGAAAAAATGATAAAACCCGCAGCGGGCAGAGAGAGAGAGAGAGGAAGAAAAACTAACAAGACCACAGCCTCGCTGAAAGGCCTGTGGGCCAGGTCCCAGATCAGCTGACGTCACTTGCAAACCTCCCATTGCCTTCAACAGCACAGGGCTGAGCCTGGGTGAGCGTAAACTGCTTTAAAGACAAAGCCAGGTGATGCTCCTCCAAGGCAGAGAAGGATTATCCACCATTGCACAGATGGGTAAACTGTGGCAGAGAGTAAGTGACTAAACCACAGTCATACAACATCAGTGGCAGAGCTGCGACTACAACCCAGAAATCCCAAACCACCCCCCCACCCCACATTCCCCAGCTCTAACCACTAGTCTTCATTTCTTCCTAAATATCCTACTCATGCCCTTGGCAGATTGCAGAGCAAGTCCAGGATCAGACGTCTCATTTGGCTAAAGCTTTGGAGACCTGCACACGAAAGATGCGACAGAAGCATGCTGCCCAACATAACCCCTTCTTACGCAGAGATGCGAGTAATCAGAAGCTTGCTCCTGAGCAGAGCTGAGCCTTAAGAGGTCAAACAAAACACAGTCCAAGAGTATTTTCCAGTGGTCCCTTAAAATAATGGGCTTCTCTACCGACAGCAAGACTTTGGGCTGTGTTTAGCACATGTTCATTCACGGACAGCCCACATCTATGCTCTTTTTTTCACTGCAACATCATTGTGACGTTTCCTAGGGAGCATATTTCACAAGCCACCCTTCATCAGCAGGGACTCCTTTTGCACGCTGCACCCCACGGCAGCAGAGGCTGCTGTGTCCATCATATCATGGCCTTGAAATAAGGGAGAAAGCGCAGATTGTTCTCCAGGGCTACATCTGCATCCACCCGTTAGACCAGAGGTGGGAAAACTATGGCCCACGGGCCATATCCAGCCTGCGGGACCATCCTGCCCAGTCCCTGAGCTCCCGGCCGGGGAGGCTAGTCCCCGGCCCCTTGCCTGCAGCCCCCGCCCCTCCCCCCGCAGTCTCAGTGTACTGCGCCACCAGTGCTCTGGCCCGCCACTCCTTCCGGGGAGCGTGGCGGGCTCCGGCATGGTAAGGGGGCAGGGAGTCCTGGGGGGCAGTCAGGGGACAGGGAGCGGTTGGATGGGGCGGAGGTCGGAGGGACGGTCAGGGGACGGGGAGCGTGTGGGGGGGGTTGGATAGGCGTGGGAGTCCCAGGGGGCCTGTCAGGGGGCGGTCAGGGAACGAAGAGCAGGGGGGGTTGGATGGGTCAGGGGTTCTGAGGGGGGCAGTCAGGGGGCGGGAAGTGGGAGGGGGCGAGGGCCAGGCTGTTTTGGGAGACACAGCCTTCCCTACCCGGCCCTCCAAATAGTTTTGCAACCCCAATGTGGCCCTCAGGCCAAAAAGTTTGCCCACCCCTGCGTTAGACACAAGGGGAAAACCTGTCCCTTTCCGGGCACAGAGCAGTGGCCACACAGTGAGAGATCAAACCAGGAGCGCTCCGACAGCTCGCCCAGAACCCCAGGGCACAGGCATGTGTTATACTCAGCACACCGTACACGGGTTCTTCTGTGGGCTGACGTCAGCCCCCAGGGACAGGGGTCAGTAGTGCTTGGTTGCCCGCCACATGCCGCTGCCCTGCCTGAGATCTGCTCCCCTCAGGAGTAAGACGGCAGCTCGCTCCCCCATGGACCATTGGCATCTCTGAAGAATCAGCCAGTGAGAGACAGTTTGGGGAAGTGGATACGTGTCCCCTGGTAAGAGGTCTAACTTCAGACAGGGCAGGCCACCATATGCCACCTCAGGTGCCAATATTTAGCAGCCTCAGAATATTTTGCTGCAGGGTCTTCTCCTCCGCCTTAGGGATTCCCTACCTCTTAAACACCACACCCTGAGGCTGCGCTCAAGCAACATGCATCCTCTGACTGTTCCTGCTCTGCACCCAGCCGTGGGAGCATCGCCCCTGGGACACTCCAGAGCTCAACCAGCATCGCAAGTGTGGGCAGAGGACTCTGGGTGCTGGGGCAAGAGGGTCCAGGTCACATGGCTGCCCCCAGGCCAGAAAACCACACAGTCAGCGATCGATTCTTTGCATTTGATTTGTCAGGCCAGGTTATCGGGGAGGAAGGGCCGAGCTCGGTGGCTTGTGAAAACAAAGAGCCCCTCTCCAGGGAATCGAAGCTACAAACCTCGTTATACACAATTATTTCTTTGGCCAAAACAGCAGTATCGATCCCCTCAGTCAAATGCATGAAAGCGGAAGGCGTTGGGCTTTGTGGGACCGTGCATGCCGGCGGCCGAGGGGGGGGAAATGCAAGCAGACTTTTTGAGGCACTTGCCAGAGGGGTCAGGGAAACGATACGAACATTGGCCAGGCGGAAGGGACAGAGGCTAGCGACATGGCTGGGAGGGAGGGGCGAAGTGTAGACTCCCTGGGGCAGGCTGGAGAGAACATGGGGGGGGGGGGGGGAGGCACGACGACGGGGGACTAGAGGGCCAGAAGACTCACAGGCCAATGATCTGGCTGAAGTTGGGATAACATCTGTTACCCAGAGGAAAGGACGTGGCAACCTAAGGCGGTGCGAGTGGGCCATCTGACTTATACACAGGGTCACTCATTTCTACATCTAGAGGGTCCTTCTTATACACAAGTATATACAGTTCTCATTGCCAGCACCACCCCACAGCAGCCAATTTACAGCAATCCCTGCCACCCCGTCCAGTGCCCATTACCTTCACCTTGAGTCTCCGCACAGGCCAGCTAACTCCAGCCCACCATCCCACGGCCGCTGTCCAGAGCGAGTCTCACCCTCCCTTCCCCGGCCAACCCCAAGCCACATTCCAGGAGCATGGGCTCCTGCAGGGGCTTATCTCACACGTCTACGACCACCTCTCCTGTGTTATAAGTGCCGCGGGGCAAGGACCTTGTCTGTATGCCCACAAATGGGCTGGGCGCCAGACACCTGTCTGCCAGGAACGGGACTGAGGACAAACTTATTCCAGAGGACACCTAGCACACTGCTGCAGTGGCAGCGGGTAGGGACAGGGAGTCAGGAAACCTGGAGCACGCACCCTCCATGGGTAACCTTGGGCAAGGCACGTCCCCTCTCTGTGACTCAGTTTCCCTAGCTGCGTGGTAGCAACAATGGTGCCCACATCTTTGGGGAAGCGCTTCAAGATCCATGGGCACATATGCCCAGCGTTCTCATTTCTCAAGTGACGCCTGCCTCGCCCGATATCCTTGCAGACAGAACTTTCCCCCTCTCCCCCACACCCACCGGCAGGGCGACTGGAGGCCCCGGAGATTCCCACCACAGCACGCTGGACACCTGAGATGAGGTCCTTACCGCTTTAAGTGTCAGCGGAATGAAAAAACTCCTGCCTTTCTAAGCATGTCAGGGTTAGCCCATGCCCCCACCCCTCCCTTTGCCCCCGCCGAGAAGCTACATTTAAATTGGCATACCAAGACTTCCTATGGGGAGATTTCCAAGCTGTTTACCTACACTTGCCTTCCAGCGATTGAGCCGCCAATTCTCCCACTGCAGAAACTAACGATTGTCACCAACCAAGGGAAGCACCAAAAAGGCATCGGGATCTCATGGCCTGTAAGGGAGGGGAAGAATCCAAAAAGCTGTCCCCCCTCCAGCCCCCTTCTCAGATTCTTCCTCTCCCTGCCCTTCCCCCTAAGAGGTAATTTTGGAAGGCTTCCCTCCCTCCCCCTCCTGGAGAGCAGAGACGGAGAGGAGCCGTCTGGGTTGCCTGCACGGGAAACAGAAGCCCTTGTCAAGATGAATCAGGGAGCCAGCTCTCATTTACAGTGGCAGGGGCTTGGGGAATTCCTGTGCCTAGAGGAATTGTGCAAACATTCAATCTGCCATCTCTGGAAGGCTTGGTGGTGACAGGGGCGGAGGAGGACGGGGGAGGCAGCAAGGGTTGGATTTCCTTGATTGCATGCAGGGGGAAATTAGCATGATCACCTCTCACCCAAAAAAATAAAACACACACCATGCTCCAGAGAATCTGATTTCTGGTACCATGCAGAAACTGCTCCAAAAGGCACAGGTGGCATCAAAGCCCGTGCATGGGGGCTTTCACTGGCACATAGCAAGAGTGGGCACAAAAAAATGGAGTCATGAACTCCAGAGCTAGCCCTTGGTATCTACAGACCCTCAGGGACCCGCCCATCCCCCCTGCTATGGAAACTGGGGTAAAATGGATCTTGGTACCCTGGAGTGTGATTGGAGGTTTGCAGGGGGCACCCACAAGACCTCAGGCCAGATCAGATCAGCTAAGTCACAGGTAAAAATGAGGGCCTACAAGGATTATCTCGTCACTAAGGAACTGGATTGGGACTCAGGAGATCTGGATTCATTTCCCAGCTCTGCCACAAACCACCCAGTGTGACCCTGGGCAAGTCACTTAACCACTCTGTGCTTCAGTTTCCCCATCTGTACAACAGGGATAGTTCCTCACGAGGGATGGGAAGCGTCGTGAAGGCAAAGGTGTTCGGGATCATAAGGTGCTCGGATATTACCACACCAAGGGACAGAGGCGTATTGAGGTGGGAAGAGACAGCTCTCAGAGACTCGATCGAGAACCTGGTGCATTATTTGCCGATACTAGGGGGGCGCTGGCTGGCTGCTGGGAGACAAGAGAGGTTTGCTGCATTTCAATCATCTTATGTTTCCATGGGGAAGGCAGCACTTTGAATAAGCCCCCAGATAACACCCCCCACCAAACACTGCCACCTGGACGAGCTAAGCCTGAGCAGTGCCCCCCCCATACACACCAGCATCGGATGCGGTTGGAGGCTTGCGGAAGCCAGGAGGAAGTTCAGCGTGCAGCGCGGTAACGTCTGGCTAGGGCCTGATACAGAGCTTGCCACCGAAGTGGTGGTGGCGGCGGCTGGGGGGGAATGGAGCGGGGGGTGGGGGTGGGACACTATCTCCCAGAGCCTGAGAAAAGCAAAAACCACCACGCAGAGCCAAGGGGAGATGCCCCTATCGCGCCACTGGGCTGGCAGCGGCTCCCCAGAACAGACGGCAAGAGGAAGGAAAGCAGCGAAGAACTGAGCGGCCCACCCGAGCCAGGGAGCAGCGGGGAGGCAGGGGGGGGCCCGGAGCAGAGCTATAAACGGCCCTGGTTTCCACCGGCTGAGAGGATGTGGTTTGCGAAGGACGTTTACAACAACATGAAACCGCAGGAGTCTTTGCTTCAACAGAACCCGATCAGCAACGTGCCCAGGGCTTGTTTGTTTGAAAAGCCCCAACCTTCTCCAGCCTCTCCCTCTTCCTCCTCACACGCTGACCACCAGGCCTCTCTCACCCCGCCCCTGGATCCGGTGGGCTCAGGCTGAGCGTGGAGCACAGCCAGGCGCGGGGGAAGGGGGGCCGGGTCGTTAGGTCTGCAGGAAAGGAGGGGGGCGCTTTTGCTAGGAACGGTGCAAGGGGTGGTGTGAGGCGCTGACCGTTTGCCAGCCCCACCCCAACCCGAGGGGGAAGGGGGAGCTAAGAACAGACTTCACTTGCAGGCAGCTATTTTAAGCAGCCTTTTAGGTCTAACAGGCTTTTTCTGAAGTATAACTTCTTGGGCAGTTGCTCGGGGTGTTTTTTTCTTTTTCACTGAAGAATAGGTGGCTCATTAATTATATGTATTACGGCATTGCCTAGGCAATCCAACCGAGACCAGGCCCTGCCGTGCTTGGTGCTGTACACAGTCAGCCCGCCCCTAAGAGTTTACACTGTAACTAGACAAAAGGCAGGACTATGGCCCCCATTTTACAGGTGGGGGTACTGAGTTACAGATAAATTATGCAGCATGGGGAGTCCGTAGCAGAGCCGGGAATCGCATATCGATCTCTCGAGACTCATTCCAGTGCCTGAACCACCACCGGAGCATCCTTCCTTGGGCCCAGGGGACTGGAAAGAAAACCCTGTGGCAGTAGCATCCCAAACCCATGGCCATCTACGCGCAGGATGTTCAGAGGGCCTTGGTGAAAGCGATCTGGTAGGTTCAGTCCAAGTCACGGCAACGCTGGTGCTATCTGGGCCTGCCAAAGCCTGTCTGCACCATGGAAAGCAAAGCCCCTTCCCACACCTACAGGTGGCCCCTGTAGCCCCAGGCCGTGGTAGCACATGGGAGATGCTTGGCCTGACACTACCTTTGCTAGGCCTATTCTGTGGACAGTGGCCTTCAGTCTCCAGGGCTGAGAGTTCTGCCCCAGCATATGCACAGAGCACCCACCAAAGACAGCTAGAGCGGAGCCTATCGACACTGCTCCTCCCATTGGAACCGCTGTTCTCGACTGCCTTAACACAAAGGCTTCCCTCTCCCCAGGCCACCACCCGCTCTCTTGTCCCCAGAGGGCCCCGGTCATGAGAGCCCAGAGCTGAGAACAAAGCTGATGTCTCTTCTTGTAGCTACTTTAAATGCAGATGCGAGAGTTATCCAAACTCAGGTTCTCCCTTCAGTTAGTTTGGGTACATTGTCACTGCAATTGCATTCCTGTGATGCATCCGATGGGATCTAGCGGCCAGCGGGGTTAGTCACAACTCAATATCTATGCCCAGCTGAGAGAAAAACATGTGAAGGAAGCAGAATTCTGCACATTAACTTTTAGAGGGAACATCATGACATAAGCAATTGTTCACACCAAGTGTCTAGAGTGTGGACTAATGATCACACTTAATGTTAAGGTTACACATTTCTAAATAGCTCACAAAGGGTGAATGTGCAAGTGGCATGTTGCAAACCTGCAGTCGGCACAAGTAGAATATGTTACGCATGGTTATAAGCACATCGCGCAAAGGTGCTGTAGATAGTTATACACCACCTATTAATCTGCTGGACCCTGTAACAGTTGAACACCTATTAATCAAGTACAAACTATGCATAAATATGTCCTTAATATAAAAAGCACACTGGATTTCAGCAATAAGGTCCTGGCATGTCAACCCCAATTCTGGCTCCAAGAAAGAGCCAACCCCCTGAATTCATATACCCTTCCACCCCCACATTTTGGGAAGGCTGGAACCCAGATCTCAGCTTTGCAACGTAAGCCTATCTCGAAGAGCAAGAGACAAATGTGAAGTTACATCTCCAACGTGCTCGATGAGGCATCTTGGACAGACCAAACGATGCAAGTCCAGTTGAACAAGGCTATAATTAACCACTGGAACCATTTACAAAGGACTGTGGTGGATTTCTCCATCACTGACAGTTTCAAACAGGAATTAGTTCAAGCTGGTGCAATGCAGGAGGTCAGACTAAATGATCACAGTGGTCCTTTCTGGTTTTCTAATCTACGAACAGGACACCCGCAGCCTCAACACAGACAATTCCTTTCACAAACACAATAGGCAGCGTTTGCTGGGGGTGGGGGCATGCCCTGGAAAGGGGAGAAACAATAAGAATCCTTCAAGGATGGCACAGTGTTACCCGCAGAGCAGGAGCAAGCTGCATAGTGCAGGGCATCCCCAACTCTGCATCATCTGGGGAAGGGCTCATTCCCATCTGGAAGCTGCCACAGAGATGCTTTTTGCCCATCAGGTCTTGACACTCAAGGCAGCCCCCTAAGCTGTAACGTAGATGGTGAAAATTCAACCCTATTTATCAAGGATGTGATCCAACATATATGACGCTGCTTGCCGGGGCTGCAAGGAGCCGACCAAGCGTGCAGCGTGAGCAGCCGTTTGCAGATGCCAGGGGGAGTGTATGTTTAGACAGCTTTTGTTTGTTGCTGTTAGAGGAACAGGAACTGATTTACCTCCAGGATGAATGGCAGAACCGGCATGAAGGTCCGGGTGTTCTCGGAGAGCAGCGTGAGGGCCCTGATGCAATGCATCCGCAGGGGGTAGAAACGAGCCGTGGGCACCAACCTGGAGAGGAGACGGAGGGAAGGTTACTGGGGAATTAAACCTACAGTCTTCAGGGCTAAAGACACAGGCCTCTCCCACTTGAGCTGAAAAGGCAAATTGTTTTAGCTCGGAGTAGGAGGCTGTTAGGGCTGCACAGGCTGGCCCACAGAGGGAGACCCGATATCATGTTCTACGCCAGCAGAGAACACAAGGATTGTAGCGCCTCGCTCATTTGAACACCCCGAGTTCTTGCAACCAGGATCCCAACTCCTCAGTTTCCTCCTTCTAGGTCGGTGGTTCTCAACCAGCGATCTGCGCGTGGGGGTGGTCTGCAGACTACGTCGACGATTTCTAAAGGGGCCTGCACCTCCATTTGAAATGTTTTTAGGGCTCCGCAAATGAAAATGGGTTGAAAGCCGCCATTCGAGGCAATCTCCCATATCTATGTACCTTTTTCAGCTGCTGCTGCTGCCCCTAATAGCATCACTCCCACCCACCAAACCAGAGCTGAACAGGTAGAAAGGGGACACGAACGGAGCAGCCACTCTTCAATGGACCACCAGGTCACCATGGGAAATATTCCCCCTTATTACCATCACCGACTACTATTCCAGGACGGAGTCCTCCCACCACCACTGGGGAAACAAGGGCTGAGGTTTGCATCAGTAAGTGCATGCCATGTAATTTACAATCACAAAAGCCACAATCATAATTAGCCGCTGCAGCCCTGGCTGTCTCAGTAGAGGCAACGCAGGGCTTATGGCTAAGGAAATTGAACTAGGAAGGTAACGGCCCAGTCTCTCTCTGGCCCACCTCAATTCATTAGTGCATACGCAGCACCTTCATCCCAGGATCCTCTGTTTCCATGGCAGCCCCATTTCATAAGTGGAGACACAGAGAAGAGGAGCGACTCAGCCCGCAACATGCCTGAGGGGCAGAACCAGGAATGAAGAAACTGACTCGGGCCCCTCTGTTTTCATCACAAGGCTGAGGCATCTGATCCACCAGCCCCTTGCTATGAATGAATTGCACCTAATAATGATGCTTTTAGTGCTAAGAAAGGTGCTTTTTAATGTGGTTCCCGGAGAACAGCTTTGATTCTGAGACGTGAACCCCGAAAAGAGAGACCACTGAGCAATGCAGCAGAGAGAATCTGCATCAGTGGGCGACATAAATCACTCCCTTTTTCTCCCCCCACCTCCACCAAATAGTGAAATAATCATCACTGGATCCATTATGGAAATAAATCTATTTTGCACCCGCATGCTGGCACCGCTGGAGATGACGAAAGCCTTCCTCAGGAATTAATTGATCGAGGGATAAACCTGTTAAAGGTATAGATTTATTGTAAACCCAGACCATTAATTTCAGAGTGCTCCGTGGAGCAGCAATCAGCCTAACCTCCCAACGGCTGGGACGGAAGCGGAATGAGAAAAGCAGCAGGGCCCCAGAGTACGCTGGGGTGGGGGAGGGCTGGCTCGTCCCTCCAAGGCCCAGCCAGGCGTCTAGCTCAGGCTGCTGAGTTTACAGCTCATGCCTCCCCTTGCAAAGGGGCACGCTCCCTAACCTTCCCCCACCCCGAACGCCTGCCCAGCTTCTCCTGTGCACCAGGGCCCAGCAGGACATCAACAGCCTGACAAGGATTATTTTCCACTCGCTGCAACTCCTGTTACGCTTCTGGGTCGCCACCATCTGCCTGACGGGGAAGGCTGCAGGAAGCCCCCCTCCTACGTCAGTCTAAGCCCAGCCAAGCGGCGGGCTGTTCCCGAGATGCCAGCGTATCTCCTCTCCCCATGGAAAGGGGTGCTTCGGCCTCTCACACGCACAGCCCGGAGGAGCCTGGTGTTTATTAAATGTGCTGAAAGGGCCCCAAAGTAGGTCGGACTGGACAGTCCCAGGGTAAGCCAAAAGCTGCACAGAAATGAGGGGGCACTCCAAAATGGGGGAGGGGGGAGGCAGGAAGAGGCGCCTGAGACAACAGAAGGAATTGGAGGAGCTCCAATGGAGCAGTCTTCTCCCTCTGTCCCAGTGTCCGGAGAGCCCCAGCCCAGCCATACCCCCTGCACCCTTTTAGCTCTTTATTTGCAGGAGCGATGTAAGCAATCCCAAGGGACGCCCCCAGCAAACCGGGTCCTCCCGCCCCTTGCAGCTGGGCCAGCATCGCCTCTCCCCATCCAACCCTCTGCTTTCCCTGGCCTGGATCCCTTCTGCTCCCAATCACGTGCAAGTTCAAGCCGCGCTGGGTCCATTTCTCAGAAGCATCCTTCTGAATACGTTTTTAATGTGTTTTATACGCTGGAGAGGGGGTGGCGGGGGGGGGGGGGAGAGAGAATAAGAAAACGAGGGAGCTAATTCTGAGGTTAGCAGGCAGCCCTCTGCTACTAGTTATCTTATTTAAGCACATTTTAAATTCTGCCTTGGTCCCCGCCTGGAGCAATAAGGCTTCGACGGATGGTAATTTCTCCCCAGTCCCCTCCTGTAATGAGGTTGTGCAGCGGAAGGAACTGCACACCGACTGCCCCCCCCTCCCCCTATTTGTCTCTGTCCATCAACCCTTTTGCAGGAAGACAGTGCCACCTTCGGGTAGAAGGAAAAGAAAAAAAATAAAGGGGGAGAAATTATTTTCTCCAGGGTTTCGATATTATTTTATTTGCTCCTGTGCGACGCTAGTTTCAAGATATGCCTGTGACCAACCTGCCGAACCCAGACCAGAACATATTTAAGGTTCCAGCATGAATCCCCCGACGCCGAATACAACAAACACAGAACAACCCGAGAGTAAAGGACGATAGCGTACTCCCTGCATCCTGCAAGGATGCCTGCTCATAGCCGCCAGATACTTATCCATCCTTAATGCTAGCAGCCCCCACTCTGGGGGTATATCAGGGCCCTTTGAACAGGTTAAACTCCCCTTTGCACTCACTCAGCCAATGCGCCCAGATGGCACGGAGCCCTAGCCAGATTTTCATGGGACCTGCTCAGGTGGATCTAAGTCATCATCACTGTTCTTGACAGCCTTCTTTCCCCCAGGCCGAGCAAGGCTTAATGATTAAACCCTCAGCGGCTCTAACTCGACAGACTGACCCTACCCAGAGGGGCGCCAAGCAGATAGGGTGTTATTTCCCCAAAAGACAAGGTTTTATTCGCTAAAGAGCCAGGGATGGAGAAATGGGCAAGAACTGGAATCCTTTCTTTGCAGTACGACGGCTTTAAAAATAAAACCACCCCAAGGAGCTGATGAGCATTTGGGCAAACCTAACTTCACGCTTTCCTCCGCACACTCCCCCTAGCACTATTCCATGCCCCCGAGAGCGAGCATGTAAGCAAAGGGGAGCAGGTGTAATCACTCCTCTTCTTTTAAAGACCCTAAGGCCAGATCCTCAGCTGGCGCAACGGGGCACAGTGCCACCAAACAAGCTATGCCAACTTACACCAGCTGAGGATCTGGCCCTACATTTGAGAGAGAGTAAAAGATATAAACCCCTGCGAAAGCTAAATGGACTGCATCGTTCCCCTCCCCCACTCCCCAGAGAGCCCCAACCCCTAAACACACAACGCTCAGCAGCTGCATCCCGCCACTGATTGAGAAGCTGATGCTGATTGAAGATGCCTACGGCAAGAGAAATAACCCAACAGCCCACGTGGGAATCCCACCAGCGTGTGTATGTTACCCATAAGGAAGGGGGTGGGAGGGCGGACAGAGAAGCGTGCAGGAGCCTGGTCCCTCCTGAATGTTTTGCAGGCCCTTGGCACTTCTCACTGGTACCCCCTGCTGTGGTCCCCGATGGAGCCTTGGGTTTCATTTCTGCTCTGTTACCGGTGCTCCAAAAAGGCAGCTGCAACCCAGGGCCCCGGAGAAGCAGTTGGAACTGCAGGACTGAGTCTGGCAGCGCAGCCGTAGCAAGGGGACTAAGGAACGAGACCCCCATGATTTACCACACTGCGTTCGCTCTCTTACACGCAGGACTTCTGACAACATCCGCCCTCCCTTACGCCCCAGCCTGGATGTACCACTGGCTTGCTCACCAAGGGACCTAACGCAGGATCTGTTCCCAGCTCTCTCCAACCCAAAGCCCATTTCCTGACGCAGTCCCAAACCCTCATTGTTCTCGTTACGTGCTCGCTGTATGGTGCGCCAGGAGGCTCTGTACATAACACATGCCCGCAAATTCTGTTTGCTGCTCTCCCTGGGACTTTCCAAATTCACCTTTCGGTGGCCCTAGACAGCTGATTTATCTGCCCGGACAGGTGAAAAAGTGCCTAGGTTTGTCTGCAGGACAATTAAAGTGCTGTAGCAGCAATGGGACACTTGGGGGGATGGCGGGGAAGGTAAGAGAATCCCGACAATTATTTGAACCTGTTTATCTTCATCACCCCTGGGAGCCCTGAGACCAGCCGGGCGGCACTGGAGAGCTCAGATTCTGGTTACGGCGCTCACAGGATTTCAGAGATGACCAATGTTTCAAAGCACAGAGTACCTTTTTCCTTCCAAACCTGGGAGGGTAGGGAGAGGGAGATTGACTCAAGTTCTCAGCAGAAGAGAAGAGAAAAGAGAGAAAAGGTCACACTTCTTCAAGCCCAGATGTTGCCAAATACCCACAGAATCCAAATATCGACAGGGAAGTCACTCAAGACGGCAGAGTTAGGAAAGCACCTAACTACAGCTACATCTGCGCTACACACCAGCGTCGCCGCGCATAGAGAACACGTAGCAGGTTGCATCCACACAGCGACGTGCAGCGCAAGCGAAAGGCTCTGGCAGAAGGGAGATAAAAGGGAAAGCCTCCTTCCCTGTCACTGGAGTCTTTCCCTGGAGCTAACAGCAGTGTAGAAGGGGAATCATGGCTCAGGTGAGTAGGTTATATACTCGCATGCATACCCACACCCCGTCACATGTGTCTAAGCCATGCCTCACCGGCTACCCTGATATTTATATCCCTGGAGGGTGGGCTATGCAGGTACGTAGTCTACAGGCTGCTGAAAGAAGCATCCAGGGTAGATGTACCTTATCTGTAGTTAAATCGGAGTCTGATTCCTGACTCTGCCACTGATTCCCAGTGTGACCTTGGGCCAGTTACTCCAGATCTCTGTGGGGAGGGCAATCCTTCCTTCCTCCCACCCTGGGTCTGTCTTATCTGTTTACACTGTAAGCTCTTTAGGGCAGGACCCATTTCCTATTTTACATCTGTACAGTGCTTTGCACAACTGGGCCTTGATCTCAGTTGGGCCCTGCAGGCTCTACTACATTATTATTATTAAACGATTACCCCACCTTGCTGAACTCACAGTTGCTCAGATTTAAGAGAGAGCCCAAGATGAACTGTGAAAAGCAGTGGGGCAAATTTATCGCTGGTGTGACTCCACCAACTTCAGGAGAGTTGCGTCAGGGTTGAATTTGGCCCATTATATGCCTGTCTGCTGGAAGTAGGCGAATAGTCATCACGCGACCTGAGTTCTCCCGTCACACAACCGGGTTTTTCATTGGTGTGCAAATAAAAGAAAAAAATCAGAGGCTAATTACGCTCGGAAGCTCCCAAGTCAACAAGGCTTCAATCCCCCTATGACAGCAGCTCAGCTCTGAGACGCGGCAATGAACGGACCCATTCAGGTGTTTGCGCATGGACAGCTCTCTCTTCTCCAGGGAAATAAAAGGAGATATGTCACCTTTGGGAATAAAAACCTAGCGCCATAGCAACGCTGCCTCCGGCTGTCGCTGCTCTGCCCGGGACCAGGTGTGCAAATAAATACGAGGCTGCTTGCACCTCAAGCTGCACAAGCGCATGACACGCAGACAATCAGAGCAAGAGTGCCCCGCGCCAGGGTATAAAAACCCCACGGCCCCTCTCAATTCACCTTCTCCCTCTCTGCGGGGGTGCCAGACGCTTATTCCTGCAATGGGATAGCCGTGAGAGCTTGTTCGCATTTCCATGCACGAGCCCTCACAGGCACTGCATGGTTTTTAACATGTTTATTTACCGCACTGGATTTTTGCCTACGGGCTGACACAGTTCTCAGTGCCACCAGGCCACGAGGCATCAGATTCGATAAGCTCTGGAAGACTGGCCTGGGCCAGTAAGTGGACGGGGGCGCAGTGTTGCTGGAAGAGCTGTCAGTGACAATCTTTCCTGAAGGATGACCCAACACTCTCACAAATCTTGGGAGACAGGCCAGTCCTTGCCTACAGACAGCCCCCCAACCTGAAGCAAATACTCACCAGCAACCACATACCACACAACAGAACCACTAGCCCAGGAACCTATCCTTGCAACAAAGCCCGTTGCCAACTGTGCCCACATATCTATTCAGGGGACACCATCACAGGGCCTAATCACATCAGCCACACTATCAGAGGCTCGTTCACCTGCACATCCACCAATGTGATATATGCCATCATGTGCCAGCAATGCCCCTCTGCCATGTACATTGGTCAAACTGGACAGTCTCTACGTAAAAGAGTAAATGGACACAAATCAGATGTCAAGAATTATAACATTCATAAACCAGTCAGAAAACACTTCAATCTCTCTGGTCACGCGATTACAGACATGAAAGTCGCTATTTTACAACAAAAAAACTTCAAATCCAGACTCCAGCGAGAAACTGTTGAATTGGAATTAATTTGAAAATTGGATACAATTAACTTAGGCTTGAATAGAAACTGGGAGTGGCTTAGTCATTATGCAAGGTAGCCTATTTCCCCTTGTTTTTTCCTACCCCCCACCCCTCTCAGACGTTCTTGTTAAACCCTGGATTTATGCTGGAAATGGCCCACCTTGATTATCATACACAATGTAAGGAGAGTGGCCACTTTGGATAAGCTATTACCAGCAGGAGAGTGAGGTTTTTTTTGTTTTGTTTTGTGTTTTTTTTTGGGGGGGGGGGGGGGGGCTGAATTTGTGCTGGAAATGGCCCACCTTGATTATCATACACATTGTAAGGAGAGTGGTCACTTTAGATAAGCTATTACCAGCAGGAGAATGGGGTGGGAGGAGGTATTTTTTCATGCTTTTTGTGTGTATATAATAAGATCTTCTATACTTTCCACAGTATGCATCCGATGAAGTGAGCTGTAGCTCACGAAAGCTTATGCTCAAATAAATTGGTTAGTCTCTAAGGTGCCACAAGTCCTCCTGTTCTTTTTGCGAATACAGACTAACACGGCTGTTACTCTGAAACCAATCTTTCCTTCAAGTCAGTAAAAAAAGGGCCACTGCCCAAACTAGGGGGCACTGTACTCCCGGCAGAACACTTCTGCAGAGAGAGAAAACAGAGGTTTTATCCTCTCACACGCCCCAAGGGTCCCAGGACACTCTTTGCACATTGGGGAGGGGGGGGGGGGGAGGAGAAGAGGGAGCACTAAAATCAGACCCAGACACCAAGGTTAACCCGTGTCATTAGACTATACTTCCTCCAAGTCTACTGTCCTTTCAGTAGGCGACAGTACAAAGAAAGGGATTACCCAAAATGGCTTGGGGACATCCAACGCCTCTAGATAATCAGAGCCTGGATAAGAAGAGTTTCAGATTCAGAATGAAGCTGGAGAGCCATCTGTCTTGGATGGTTTAGACACAACAAATCCCGCATCTGGGCAGGGAGTGAGACTAGCTGACCCTTGCGGTCCCTTCTAACCCTATGGTTCTAAGGAACAGGCTCATCATTCCGATAACCAAGGGGTCGGCTGCGATCTCCGCGTCCTGTCTGAAGTGGCTGTGCGCTCTTATGCTGCTGCTGGGTTCCACCCCAGAAGCGGCTGCATTTCAGCAGCGGACCAAGTGGCCACGATGTAGAGTTTATGGCCCTGACCCAATCAGTGCCCATGGAAGTCAATGGAATGACTCCTAGTGACTTCTAACGGGCTTCTCCCCCGATGAAGGAAGCAGCTTCACTATGGTGCTACGGCGACGCAGCTGCGGCGCTGGGGCGTAGACATTATCCTTAGAAAGGCAGTAGCAGGCAGGGCTTATGTCCCATAGCAGAAGTTCAGCATGCACCTAGCGCTGATGCTATTAAGGGGACATTACGTTGTTCAAAGAGGAACCCTTTGGATAAGGCACGACACCAAGAGCCCATCTGCCCTGTTCCAGCCAACACACAATGCCCTCTTCTCCTGGAAACTGGCTCTGATACCCAACCCTGTGTGAGCCCGACCCCGTGTGAGCTGCTGCACAGCACATTAAGTGCTTTCCCTTCTGCTTCTGAAGTCCCTGTATTAACACGGCTTTGCAGCGTGCCTGCAGCCTGGAGCGTATGAAAAGTGTGAATGTAAACACAACACAATGCTGGGAGAATGCAATTCACGTCACCCTCCTTTGTCTGCAGCCCTCTCCGAGAAGCTGGACAACAGAATAACTTTCCCCATCGATTTTGCTAGTTACTATTTGGCAAACGTTGCTTCCACCTTCCTGCTGCGGCTCTCATGCAGGGAGAAACCAAGCTAGCTCCGTTTCAATTACCTCAATTTCCTGTCTACAAGCAACTCTGCTGATCCAGCAAGATTGGGCACAGTGCTGGGGCTTGCAATGGTTAGCTGCTGCTGCAGTGCAAGAGGTGTGGAGACCTCGGGTTAGGGAACCCAGCCTAGCAGACTGGCCTCTAGGTGGAGCCTCAGCTTGCAACGGGCACCTCACAAAAGGCATAGGAGATCTTACAGACTTGGGCTCCGGGTTGCCAGAGACACATGCCACAGTGTAGACCAGCCACAGCAAAACCCCCATCAGTACATCTCAGAGCACGTTACACATGTGGTCAGTATCATGGCCCCCGCCTGGCACAGAGAGGGGACGCTACTTGCCCAAGCTCACCCAGCAGGGAAGTTGCAGAGCCAGGAATAGAATCCAGGTCTTCCAGGCCCTGGTCCAATGCTCTATCCACTACGCCACACTGCACATATGATGATGATTGGTGGGGGGGGGGGGTAAGAACTATTCCCACAAGAGCTTGCTGTAGCGTGGGGACTGTTTTACAAGTGAAGAGGCCAGGTAAGTTACAGGAGCGCAAGGGGCTCCCGAAGCTCCCGGTTGCAGGCCAGCCCATTACAAAACAGGATAGAGCAAAATTACTGCTCGCTCCCTGCTCAGGTTAAAAAGATGTGGGCTGGACTAAGGCCCAGGTTACTCATTTCAATAAGGGACTGGGCTGCTTTGGTTTCTTTTAGAACAAGAAATCACAACAGGTCTATGAACGCAGGCACTCGGTGGGAAGTGCAGTGGTGCTGGGATCAGCTGTTCTGTTAGCCTTCACTTATTCTTAGGCACCGTCTGAGCCTGGCACTCCGCTACGGCCACAGGTGGCCCAATGTGAACCCCAAGGTGAGATGCTCACCCTGGCTCTGCCACTGCAGGTCACAGTTTATCCCCATTTTACAGATGGGGAAACCCAGGCACAGAGCGGTGAAGTGACTTACCCAAGATCCCCCAGCGAGCCAGTGGCTGAGCCTAGAACAGAACTCAGGTCTCCTGAGTCCCAGTCCAGTGCTTTAGTCACTACGCCACAGATGTGGTCATACCAATGAGCTCAGTTAATGGACCCAAAAGTAGCTTGATAAAGCCTCATAGTAAGTTCAAGCAACATGTCAGCAAGAGATTTCTAACAGGGGTGCTTCAACAAATCACAGCTCACGAGAGCAGCCCCCCAGTATGCAATAGGACAGTCCCCTACAACAAAGGGTTAAAATCTATACGTACCCTCCCTGCCCATCCCCTATGTGACTATATGGCCACATCTGTAACATGGGAAATCAGAGCCCAGTGTTTTATAAGGGCGGGGGGAGAACTATCCGTTCCTACTTACTTAATGCAGCCAATGATGACCTGGGTCAGAGGGTAAATTAACGGCGCCATGATCTCGCTGGGGTAGATGGTGCTCAGGACCCGACACCAGAAGAACAGGCAGTGGATGTACTGCCAGTTGTAAACAGACTGGTAGTTCTCCTACAGAAAAAGGAAAGGCACACACGCTTGGCAAACGAATGGCCGAGACAGGAGCTGAACCTCCTTTCCGGAGTGCGCACGCAGGCTCCTTTGTATTCGGAGGCAGTGCGGTCTAGCAGAAGGAGCGCACAGCTGGGAACCGGGGACTCTTGCATTCTAACCCTGGTTCTAGCAGCGACTAGTTACGTTAATCTGGGGAGAGGCGGGGCTGTGCGGTGAAGGCCCTAGTACGGGATTCAGGAAGACAGGATGGCTAGAGGTTTGCACAATGCTTTGGAAATGCTAAGTACTGCCCTTGGGGTGTTGTTCCTCGCGGCATTTATCTGCAGCTATGCTTCACAAGTGGAGCTCCGTCTCCTTAACACCTCAGCCCCCAGCATACGGAGGGGCAGGGCCATGCTGTGTATGGGCCTTTCCCGTCCACTGGCTAAGGGGGACAAACCCTGATCTCCCATGGGCAGCCAGGCTGGGAGATCCTTCTACATCTGTGCTGACTCCCTCCCTGGTCCACGCACTCTGGAGGGAAGAAAAATAAACCTCTAAAGCTACAGGGCAGAACCAGCTTCCCCCAGCAACTGTCCCCTAAGGCTCCCGCTGAACCTACCTCCCCTACCAAGTGACCTGCAGAACCACTAGGATCTCATTTCCCCAGGCAAAGCAGGACACAGGGCCCAGCTGCTGCCACCAGGGGGCTCTGATTACTCCTTCAATTGCAATATTAAAAGAGAAGCTCCATCGCTCGGGTACCACGAGGACGGGCAGCACTTTTGAACCTCAGGGAGCGTTACTGCTATTCATTTTGAAAACGTGCCGACGTGCACTCAGGGTCAAAGAGAGCCTCATGCAGCCATGACCGGCCCGTCCAGCACACCCACCTCCCAAGAGTTTACAGACCCAATTACAAGGGGACACCGCAATAACAGGTTCCTTTTACAGAGCCCAGGGAACACAAAAAAGCTTTATTTCTAGGTACAGCCTGCATGTCAGCCCAGGAGCCGCCTTCCTAGTTACCAGACAAAACAACGCAAGAGGTCACTTAGGTAATTAATACTTGCCATGTCACTGCATTCTCAGATCACCCAGGCTGGCTGAGCCAGCCTGAGTGGTACTGCAAAGACCGGGCCACGCCTCTACCCAAGAGTTAGGTGTTTTTTTCTAGTTTCAAAATGAACTTGGGAAGTGTCTCCCCTCCCTGCCTGGTTCTGAGCAGCCCGGAACACCAGAAAAAATAAAAACCCTCCATAAAAGAGCTATTCTCAGCCGGTGTTTCCCACCCAGCTGGAAGCACCAGAAAGTCCACATGGAAGCCAGTTCTCCGGGGACTTTTCAACCAGAGGCTGCAGGCCCAAGAAGCTCGGAATTCGGAGAAAAATCCCAGCTGCTGGCAACTTCCACAGCTGCTCCTAGTGAGGGGCCTTTGGCTCCAAATGTCTCTCACCAAATGAGATTCTTTCTTTTATCAGCTAAGGGTGATAAACTCTGACGACTACGGCTCGTCTCCTCTTACATGTGCTTGAGCAGTGTGTGCATGGAGTGGACAGTGGACTGCCTGCTTGTAGCATTCCTGAATTACACACAAGCCCAACACCTTGTGGTAGGGCTTAGGTAAACATTCCCCCCTTCGGTCAGGTTACACGCCTGTCCATGCGGCTCGGACCAGCCGATGGCTTCTGTAAGCACCCGGTGCTCATTTCACACTAATTGACTTGTTGTTGGGATTTGGGCATACTGGTCGTGCCGCTCTAATTTAATCTCTCCCTCCGCCCCCACTTTCAAACCCCTCCTGGGAAACCAACCAGATTTGGGGACTGTCTGGTCCAGGGCTGAAGGTGTAAGAAGCCAATACAATCCAATTATGGGCATATGCCCAGGCCCAGACTTTGCTTATCTCGGCTGGGTTTATCCCTATGTCTGAGCATCTAGGAGATTTAAGTGGTAACCAATCCTGCAGTGCACAGGAGCAACCGAACCACTAATCCGCAAGGGTTTGTTTTCTCAAACCCGGGTAAAGACAGGATTAGCAATCTGACAGTGTAAACAGGTCAGACTGGACAGGGCACAAATCAGGCCTGCTTCAGAGGGACTTAGCTGCTTGCCTCAATGAAATTACAGAAATGGCCTGGGCAGGTGACACAGGCTGATGGGGAGATGTGCCAGGCAGACACCGCAGTTGGAAAGAGCCACAAATAAGGGGCGGTTTATAATCTTCTGTGCTCTGGGTTTTGCTAAGCAGCTGAAATGTTCATTTCACATACACGGCAAGGCGAAGGAAAGGAGATGCCCAGGGTGAGAGAGAGAGAGAACATCTGCCAGGATCTACATAGCTTTGGAAGAGAGAACTACCTTGCCAGTATTTGCTCTCCACCTCCTTGCTAAAAAACCCAAACAGCGACATAAATGAAAGCGTTTATCCTCCCATGAGCAGCTGGCAGAACTCTGGGTCCCTCTTTCCTTTGGCAGAGCAGCCACCTGCTGGCTCCTTAGCGCATCATGAAACAGGCTGGTCCCCTTCTGACTTGGATGCCTGCTTCGTGAAACAAGTTCCTACCAAGCCCAATGCTATCAAAATCCCACCAGCACTAACTTCCCCTGAATTCTCCAAGGATGTCCCCCATGTGCCAGCTGACTTCCCACCATGTACTCCAGTGGGGTCCCTAACACGCACCAGTCAGTGCTCTCCCAGGGGTGCTGGAATAATTTGTATAGTGGGGGTGTTGAGAGCCATTGAATCAAACTGTAAATATTGTATATAATGGAGGCTCCAGAGAAGGCATTTCCTGGGAGTGACACCAGAACATGAAGTACGAAATCATCCGCCCACGCCCCAAGGACTCCAAGCTTCCCCAATTCCGGTAGGGAGTCTCTGTCAGAGAGAGAATCCAGATCCAGTCTCTATTTACACAGTGCCGGTCAACCCCAAAGAGACTGAAGCACTTTGCAAAACACACACAGGCAAGTCACTTCTCCCACCACTGGATTGGCCCAGGCTAGGCAGGTGCACAACTCCCCAGCAGTTGGGAGTGGGGTGCACTGAGCGGGAAGAGGTAATTAGCCAAGGATGCTGGGGCAAACTCCTACTCATAGATCTTTAACCGTCTATGCTGAGCAGACTGACCCTGGTTTTAAAGGTCTCATCTACACAGCCTCCCACCCCCTTCCCAGCGCCAGGCCTGGAGCACAGCTTGCCTAAAGAGACGAGATGCCCTTGCTCAGAGTCCAGCTTAAGGGTCCAGGGTGAACAGGCATTTCAGCCGCGATGCTCCAGCAGGGCAATCTGCTCCTCTCCTTGCCACGTCTCCCAAATGTAGTGACCAGCGGCATTGAAGCAGGGACCGGGATTTTTTTCCCGTCTCACCATGCACAAGGCCACACATCAATCTGAGTTAAAGCCGACGTTGTGGGTGCGTAACAGCAGCTTGCAAAGCTCCCCGCATGGGCTTGTTCACCGAGCTGGGGTTTGGAACCTACCTTCTTCTTCACAGTCATGGCGCTACGCAGGTGAATGGCAAGCTGGCGAACGTAGATGAAGGCGTGCTGGTAGGACACCTGCGTGTCCAGGGCGTACATCTCCGTCAGGGTGCGCTGCATGAAGTTGATCATGGGGAGGACGTTGGGGGAGGTGAACCTGGAGTTCTTCACGTAGGAGATGTACATTTGCTGCAGGAAAAGGCAAGGCACGAACCAGGAGTCAGAATGAAAATCCAGGCAGGGAAGGAGCGCTCTCCAACAACCCACAGCCAAAAACTCGCCACCACCTGGCTTCCAGCACATCCGTGCTCGGGACAGGGGCCAGCCTGAGTGCTGCCCACGCCCTAGGATCCTTGCATGCCGGTATGTCTACACGCCATCGGAGACAGAGCAGCAGCATAGCCCCAGCTCACAGAGGCAGATCACATGGCCTAGCAGACGGTGCACTGGGCTGGGACTCAGGAGACCTGGCTACTACTCTCAGCTCTGCCACTGGCCTGCTGGGTAATCTTGTGCAAGTCACTTTACCTCCCAGTGCCTCAGTTTCCCATTTGCAAAATGGAGATTATGCGTCTGGCCTCCTTTGCAAAGCACACTGAGATCTGCAGATGTTAACAGCTAGATATTACTGTTATATTATAAGAGCACACCCTGCCATTACCTTGAGCACGGGGTTCAGGTACAGCTCCTTTTTATGGCGGCAAATCTTGTTCAGTACCAGGAAGGCCAGCACTCTCACTGTTTCTTCGCCCGTGCTCCACAGACGGATGGCTTGCTAAAGAGGAAAGGAGGGAGAGAGGCTCGTGTGAGCAAAAGGACAGGGTCCCATCCCATCAACAGAGAGGCCAGAGCTTTCCCTGACCCTTCATTTCGGAGAGACATAGAGGAAGGGCAGGTTGTGCAGCCGTCAGGAGCTCAGCACTAACGGCCATCCCATGCCCACAGCCTGGCTGTGAGCCACCTCCACGTTACGCGCCAAGATCAACGCCCTCAAACACACCCGTCTGCTAACATCAACAGGGGCTGCATGTGCTCAGCGCCCCTGAAAGTCAGGCCACTCATATGTGGAGGCCAACACATGGACTTTGACGCCTAGATCTAGGCATCTACCTTTGAAGTTGAGTCAAACTTCCCCCCAGGCTTTTCCTGACCAAACTAGAAGCCTCTCTTCTGGCTACAGGCAGCTCTGTGTCACACAGCGCTCTGCCAACCCTGTGAAAAGGAGGTCATCTGCGTATCATGTCATTTTACACAGAGCACACCCAATACTCAAGGCCAGAGCCAACCTGACTGTGGTTCCTGGAAACCAAATGCTCTCCAAACACTTCTCAATCCCCACCCTGGCCTTAAAGAACAGACAGATGCCCAACACGCAATACAGAGGCTTACGAGCCAGGATTTTGCTGCACCACCTCAGATCACTGCCTTATCCAAGTCCAGTATTAAGATGCAGGATGTGGCTAAGAGTACTGGACCAGAACACAAGAGACCTGGACTCGATTCCTGCCTCTGCCACAGACTCCCTGTGGGACGTGGGGCAAGTCATTTACTCTTAGGACCTATGCTCCCCATCTGTCAAATGGAAATGATCTATTTAGTTTAGTTTGATTGCCAGCTCTTTGGGGCAGGGATTCTCTCTTACTAGGCATCCGGTAGAATGGGACAGTGATCATGGTTGAAACCTCGAGAACACACATTGTAAGTATCCCATCTCTCACAGCAGCTCAGAGAGGCAAAAATCCCCTGCAGAACCTGATAAATTGTGCAGAACAGAAAATTCCTCCCTGACAGCGCTAGTGAGAAGCCTCGAAACAAGTGATTTAAATTACCCTTATCTCAGCATGCAGCACCACAAACATCACCGGCCATACATGTCTCCAGCTCGGCTCGCCTTCTGCTCTGTCAGACCTCTCTGATTTAACGCTCCTGTTGCCCTCTTGCCCACACGCCACTCCTCCTCCCGCTCTGTCACCCACAACTGCTGAGCGTGTGAGAGAAAGTCACTGCACAAATATTCCACCCCCGAGCCTCCAGAGGAAAAAGCTATCACACGTACACAGACACCCCACAGGGAGCAATTACTCTCCAGGCGATTAGGAAAACAGCTTCACTGTATCACCACCACATCTCTCCGGAACGGGTACCACTCCAGCACGACGTGCCATGGGGATTCACGGCCACGTGCAGGCGGATCCAAGCCCCCGCGCAGGCGGATCCAAGCCCCCGCTGAACTCGGCGGAAGGGTGACAGCTGGCACCTAACGACGATAAATGGAGGCCTGGGTGCTTAACGGAAGAACAGCCCAGGGAAACAAGGAACTGAACTCAGGGCCCCAGACACTGTTCTGGCAGGGTAACCAACCCCAAATATCCAATACCATGTGGGGTACACAGGGTCTCACTTCTCTCTAAATTAAAGTTTCCATTATTCTGTGCCTTACCTTGAGCAGCATGCGGCACTGCTTTGGGAACGACAAGAAATAAGGGACAATGGCGTTGACGTGGTGAAGGACAGCAGCTCCGACAGAAGCTTCTGTTAAACAAGACAGGAGCTACAAGGGGGAGGCAAAATGAGATTGTGGTCAGTCCCGCAGATCCCACCCAACTTCTTCCGTTCCCGTTAGCAGCAAACGTTTCCTGGGTGCCAGGAGTGGTGCAGCCCAACCCGCACTCTGGGGTTCGGGCTACAAGAAGCCAAGCCAAAAGAACTTCGGAGCAAATCCAGGAGCAGGGCCAGCGCAGTGGTAAATTCGCTGCTTAGAGGGACCTGGCTACAACACGAGGCTGAGAACAGCCAACATGGCTCCTGGGCTGGCTGGGCTGTAGTGGTGACAGCAACCTAGTGATTTACAGGCTTTCCCCAGCAATCCTCTGGCAGAGAGCAGAGGCACCAGCAGGGGATCGAGGGGTTAACTCCCACTCCACAAAAGGGTTACTGAGTGGCTCTCTTACTGCGTGGCTGGTCCTTTAAGGGAACTTGAGCCTAGCCTGGCCACTGACTGATCAGCTACCTCCCAGCAGAGACTGGTTAAGGGATTACAAAAGCCAAGAAGTGCTTGGCTGGGAAGGAAAGCTGCAAGAGGCCCTGGAGCAGCAGGGAACCAGCCTTGGGGCCCCAGCAGAAGATCCCAGGTCAGGGGATGAGATGGTTTACAAGTGGGACTTATCCAGAACCATTTTATTGTGTCTGAAGGATAAACTGTGCCCTGAAGGAAAGGCCTGACAAGACTGTGGGCAAGGTGCCCCTCCTGAGCTGGGGAGACAGGCCAGCTCCTTACAGACTCCTTAACAGCTTCTAGGGTGAAGGGGGTAGAGAACAGACACACCACAGCTTAATATCTTTGGGAAGGGCAGGCTCAGCCCTCTCGGGGACAAAACCCAAGCTGAGGGGTGTTTATTTAGAGGGACATCGAGTTTACAGTCACTGCAGTGCTGAAAAGTGTTTTACCAGCTACTGTGCCAACTCACACTGCAAATCACCACAGCTGAAAGAGGAGGCAATTGGTCTCCTCTTTATCCCTTCCACTGCTCTCATTTACGCAAGCCTAGATATCACGCTGTGGTTGCTGGCAGCTATAGCCTGCAAGTCTCTCGCACAGCCACAGGAGAGAGTAAAACATATTTTTTAAAAACGGGAGCATGATTATAAAGCCAACATAACGTTGGTGCGAGGGGGTCTGCTCGATAGCAGGCAGAGAACTGGAAATACTTTTTAACTTGTCTAGATTTTGAGTTGACCACACAGAATCACAGAAGTGTAGGACTGGAAGGGACCTTGAGAGGTCATCTAGTTCAGTCCCCTGCACTCAAGGCAGAACTAGGGAATAGCTAGACTGGGGCGGGCAAACTTTTTGGCCTGAGGGCCACATCGGGGTGTGGAAATTGTATGGTGGGCCATGAATGCTCACGAAATTGGGTGTAGGGGTGCGGGCTCTGCGTTGGGGCCAGAAATAAGGAGTTCAGGGTGCAAAAGGGGGCTTCGAGTTGGGGTGCAGGGAGGTGGGTGTAAGGGCTCTGGGGTACAAGAGGGGGCTCTGGGCTGGGATCGAGGGGTTCGGAGGGCGGATCAGGGCTGTGGCAGGGGATTGGAGCACGGGGTGGGGGGCTCAGGGGTGCAGGCTCTGGGCGGCACTTACCACAAGCAGCTCCCGGAAGCAAATCCCCCCTCTGGCTTCGAGGCACAGCCAGGCAGCTCTGTGCGCTACCCCGTCCGCAGGTGCCACCCCTGCAGCTCCCATTACCCGGGAACCACAGCCAATAGGAGCTGCGGGGGAAGCACCTGCGGATCGGGCAGCATCCAGATCCGCCTGTCCATACCTCCACGTACTACGTAGGAGCCAGAGGGAGGTCATGCCGGCTGCTTCCTGGGAGCTGCGCAAGCCTCTGACCCTGCTCCCCAGCGGGAGCACCGGAGCGGGGCAAACACCCAACCCCGCTCCCCGGCAGGAGCTGAGGGCCAGATTAAATGCTCGGACGGGCCGGATGTGGCCCCTGGGCTGTAGTTTGTCCACCCCTGAGCTAGACCATTCCCAACAGGTGTTTGTCTAACCTGTTCTTAAAACCCTCCAATGACGGAGATTCCACACCCTTCCTAGACAATTTGTTCCAGTGCTTAACTCCCTAATGTCCAACCTAAACTGCCCTTACTGCAATTTAAGCCCATTGCTTCTTGTCCTATAAGCTTGAAACATCTTAATGATACATAATAATAATAATACCACCTAGCTTTTATCTAGAGCTTTTAATCGTTAGCTCTCTAAGGGAGGGAAGAATAATTATCCCCATTGGACAGATGCCTTTTCCTGTTCTATTGCAATCCTTAGTTACCTTGCTTGCTGTAAGCACTACCCCTCGAGGAAAAGGCTTTGCTGCTCAAGAATGCTTTTCTGCTGAATCATTTTGACGGCTTATGGCCTGGAAGGGTGTCAGCACTTTCACTTTGTTTACCTGCTCTCCCTTCCCCCAAGAGCCCCACCACGGCCTTGGAGAATGAACAATTTATGCTGTTTTCTTGTTTTTTGTTGTTTTTTAAGTCCAACTCTCCCTCATTTGGGGGTACACGATGAAACAGTCTGTTGGCTTCCCTAAGTCTTCCCCAAAAATCTTGATCTAGGAGGAATGGAACCCAGCTTTATAAACACACATTGACCCTCCCTGGAAAACTGGACACCAGCAACTTAGCACAGGTGGGATCTTCTAATAAAGTTGCAGCAGAATTATAGTTGGTGAGGTTGGGATATGGCACCTGATAAACTCAACCTCATTGCAGGTTTCACTGCAGGAAAGGGAGCATCCATTATGAAGCAGGCCCAGGACCTGAAACGACTTTAACCTGATGAGATTTCAAGTTGAGCAGAAGGCAGGCGTGACCTTAAAACTGCAAGAATTGCCTCCCAGAAGGAAGCTAAGTTTGTGAAATCAGAGCAATTAATGCCACTAACACAGTCATCTGCTTTGTCAACTGGCTCGTTTGTGTTTAGGTGGCGAGGTGTCACCTTTAAAGGGACGGTTAGCTAGAAGCAAGCAGTGTATCTCCCTTGATCCTAGGCACATGATCCCAAAATATAAACCTGCTTCCAACAGAAACCCAGCAGTGCCCAGGACAACAGCCTCCTAACAGACATACTGCAGGTCTTTACCTGGATGGTGCAGCTCAGGTACATCTTGACATCCAGCCTCAGCTTGCCCCAGAGTGGGCTGGTAGAGGGCAGCACCATCCTAGGAATGAACAGGGAGAGAACACAGGCTGAGTGGGAGTCGCGTTTAGTTTAGAGCTAAAAGTGACAATGAATCATTACACTATGGAAACTCCCAGGAAACCAGCATCTTCCACATAGCGAGGAGAGGGGGGGCGTAAAAGCGTTACAATCTCATTATAAAAGGAGTAAGGCTTTGTCATCCAAAGGGTGCCCCAGGCCTGCACGACATTACTCCAGGGCACAAGGGGAAGCTCCCGCGCATCCCTCTCCATCTGGCTAACAGAACGGATGCTGAAATGGAGCGGGGGTGTCTGGCATTCAGCCCCATTTGCCTTCTGTTCAGGCATCCCGGGGCCATGGCTTAAAAATAGGACTGATTTCTATTGCAAGACGGCTGGAGTTACACGGATTACGACGTACAATTATGAGTGGCCTAGCCGGCGTGAGAAAGAAAGCACCGATCTCACTTGTGCCACTCATGAGCTCACGCCCACATGGACTAACAACTGCAGGGCTGAGTGTTTGCCAGGCAAACCTACCATGGACTTCACACAGAGTTCGCATCAGTAAGGAGTGCAAGGAGGAAAGAGGGAACTGTTCTCTGCAATCAGCACTATATTGTTATTTCAGAGCAACAGCACAGGGAACGGAGACTTACGCTTTGCCACCAACGCCAACAGGAAATTCGGAGTTGACCTCAACCCCCACCCCATCCCTAACCAGGCTAAACAGGGACATTAACAATAGTAGCATTAAAACCTGCCTAGGATGCCTTTGCACACTTGCATGGCAGATAGAGTAATGCCTGTGTAAGTGCGACCACCTCTGGGGTGGAACACTCCTGCTACGTAACACTGCATAAGATTGTAGGGCAGAAAGAGAAGGAAACCACAGCGAAGATTCTGGTCAATGAAGAACACAGATACCCTAGGTGGAACACGGCCAGGATAGAGGGACTAACACATCTTCCAGAGAGTGCTTGGGGATCTTTTAACAGGTGGTCAGAGCTTTACTTCCAGCACCACTGTAACACTGGTCCAGGGGGGACTCAGAGCTAAGAATGGTACCAGCAGCCCTGGATGACCCTTGGAGGTCACCCTTCCAAGTACTGCTCTAGCCGAACCCTGTTTACCATGGGTCAGTACGAGATCCCAGCCCAAGGCAGTTTGGCAGCCAACCAGAATTCCAGCAAACAAAACTGGGCCCATGAGTCAGAAATCCCCCCGTCTCTAATGAAGGCTCTAGTCAGCTCAGATGACAGCAGAGAGGAATGCAACACAGAGCTTCTGGACTGACGCCTGCATTTAGGAACAAGGGATTAATTGTACCCTCACTAGCCCAGCTGCGCATTGCTGTTCCCCATTCCATCCATGATCTAACGCAGACCAGGTCAAACCTAGAAGCTCTCAACCCACCAGAATCTGGCGCCTAGCACACCCACAGCAGTAAACATCGAAAGCAGTAGGGTGAATTGCTACCAAGTCACATCTCAAGGGCAAGCAGGTCAGTCACAAACCATTTTTCCCTTCACCCCAAATAAAATGCCACTTTCTTCAGAATTCCCCAGTGCAGGAGGAAAAGGTTCACGCTGGACACCTCCTGCACTGGGGAATTCAGAAGGATTGAGGCTCAAGGATAAGAAGCCCATAGGCACGAACAAATGGTTTTTCCACTACACAGGAAGAGCTGCATCTCTGCCAATTCTTCCACCTGCAAGAGCTGCTTCTCTGTCAATTCTTCCACCGGCATGCCCAGATGACACTTATCTGCAATGCAATTGCCTGGAACTTACTTTGATTTGTCTTTCAGCATCTTCACCTGAAGCAGTTTCTGCAGGCAGCCAAAGAGATCCCGAATGCAGAAGGACACCAGGGCATTAAATACTGAACCAAAAAAGAACATGTCAGTAAAATACTTATGACTGGTTTCCCATTCACTTCCCGGCCCCCTTGCTAACCTGAAACAGAACTGTCACCACTGAGCTCAGAACAGGACCTGGGGGTCTTTCACAGGTTTGCACAAATCAGTCTACTCTCTCTCTCCACCCACTCCCACTCAGGAATTTCTTCCTGAAGAGTAAGATTCCTTAGATTGTAAGCTCTTTGGACAAGGACCCCTTGCACATGAGGTCCCTCTCTTCGCTCTGGGTTGGCACAGCATCTAACACACGGGGGCCCTGGTCATGATTGGAGCTGCTAGGTACTACAAAGAATAATAAGAGGCAAGAAACCAGGAATTACGTGTTTTGGTGGTGTTTTTTTAAAGCAATGTCATCAGATAGCACCTTGTTACTATGTCATTTACTGAATTAGAAAACGAAGGATTGTCTTGAAGGGAAGCCACATTGAGCGGCTGTAGTGTTCCACATGGGCACTACGGAGTGGAGAGAGAACACCCTCAATCGATTCTGAAATGCAGCAACGATCCAGGGCTGATTCTAAGCAGGGTGCACTAAGAAGCTTTTCCAGCACCCACATTTTTCAAAAAGTAGGCAGCAACTAAATTTCCGGGGGACAGATGCACGTGAGTTGGGACAATTCTTTCATACTTCAAATAAATAAAATTAATGCAGCGAGGAAAGAATCAGCAGTTGACACTAAGTCACAATTTTAGGTGAGACATGGTCATCCCCATAACAGCAAATGGGGCTGTTAGATAAGGCTACTTTTGTCGACATCCCTCAGTGCTGTCTCAGGTCCGCCCGAACAATATTAGCTGAAATCCTGCTGCTTCAGGACCCCCTTCCAGAACGGGCACTATACAAGGTGGGGCTGTCCCCGCGTAGAACCTTCGTCATCTGGAGGAGTTATGCTGTTAAACTGAAAGCCACAAGATATGCATGGAACTAGGATGAAGATCACTTTCATTTCCACTGATTTTATTTTCTCCTGATAGGCCTTGAATTGCCACACACCTTGTCCCCAGGCCCTTATTCCACACCACCTGCCCCCTATGAAATAAGTCTAGACAGCCTCTAGCCGGAACAAAAGCTCTCACCGGCACTGTCGGTGACTTTGAATTTGCTGGGGTCGGCCCCACCGTCATCTCCTTTGGTAGTTGCCACAGATGCTTTAAAGGCCTGAGTGATCTCATGGAAGAGCCTCGGTGTTAGTTGCTTCTGGGAGAGAGGAATAAAGAAACGTCAGCAATAAAGGGAAAGGAAAATGGAGGCAGCTATATTCCTTCATTAACAATCATCCCTCATTATGCGCTTTTCATCAATAGAGCTCAAAGTGCTTCACAGAAGCAGGAAAGAATGAGTATCCCGTTTGTACAGCTGGGGAGACTGAGGCACGTTACACAGTGTTCTAAACGCTATTAAAAAAATCTGCAGGACATGCAGGAGGCAGAGTGCTTCGGAGGAAACCTGGGGAGTGAAGACCAGATGTGCAACTTCACTCGCTCCGTGACCTCATGTGAAACGCTGGAGTCGCGCTGGCCTCTTAACATAGCCTGCAAACTGAAGCTGAGACCCCCTGGTCAAGCCAGTAACCATGCAGGGGCCAGTGTCACAGCTAAACAAGCCAGATGCCTCATCCACATGTTACACGGTTGGCAGAACCATCTTGCTCAGCGTGCTCATTCTATCATGCTGTTCTGTGTACAGGTTTCTGGGTGAGAAGACGCTGCCGAGGTGGACGAGCACCAAATTTGCTCTCTCTCACACCTGATACACACAGCTTTGCCCTGGAGGTACACCCCGAACCACAGGAGACCATTAGCCTCTCCGAACATGGGCTCCAACAGCCCTTCAGCCACAGATTCTAAACCAGATGATCCAAAAACCATGTAGATCAGGACTCCAGATTTCTGGGGTTTGCAGCCACAGCCTGGGGGAGGAAAACTATCAAGGGGGACCTTTATACTACACAGAAGACATTCAGAGTCAGAGAGAAGCCTGTCCCGAAAGCATACAATCAATGGGACCCTGTGGGTATGTCTACACACTAGAGCTGGGAGCGAGCCTCCCAGCCTGGGAACACAGACACACACTAGCTCAGCTTGAGCCAGCATACTAAATATAGCAGTGTGGACACAGCGACACAGGCAGCATAGGCTAGCCACCTGGGCACAGACCCAGGGGACTGGGCCGGCTGGCTCTCCGTCACATGCTGCAACCTCCACGCATTCAAGTCAAGTCACTCACGTACATCAGCGCATGTGGGATTGGGCCCTAAATTAAGAGGACTGTGACGGGGCAGCTGCTCCTCACTGGCTGGCAAAGGGTTAATAGCAGCCCTTGGAGTGGCTGTGCAGAACCCAGCCAATCAGAGGAAGGGTTAGAAGCAGCCAATCAGGGCCAGGCTGGGCCCTATAAGAAGGGCAGCAGAGCAGAGAGGAGCTCAGACTCTCCCTGGAGCTTGAGGGAGAAGGACTGGCTGCCTTTAGAGAGGCGTGCCCAGGACACAGGAGTGCTGAGCAGGGTCAGGGGGGCAAGTGGAGCTCCAGCCTGGCTGGCTCCCAGAGGGAGGCCTTGATACAGGGGCCGAGTAGGTTCTGGGGCTACAGGGAAGTGGCCCAAGGAAAGCAGGTAGCTGCAGAGGGGAAGGCGACGCAGTGAGCGGCTGCCAGTTATAAGGTCCCTGGGTCAGGGCCCAGAGTAGCGAGCGGGCCTGGGCCCCCCCCCCATTTTGCCCCACTGGCCGCCGAAGGAAGTGGCCAGCCAAAGGACTGCAGTTCACCACACCGGCAAGAGGCCGGGCGAAGGACTGCCAGTTCCCCGGGAAGGGGGGAGACAACGGGCTGGGGCACAGATGGAGTGCCGTGTGCTGAAGAGGACGCCATGGTCCGGGAGCGACGCAGGTCCCCACAGACAGCGGAGATGCTGGAGAAGCAGTAACAGAGAGTGAGACACCACAAAAGGAGGGTGCCCTGCTGATGGACACAGCTAATTCCCAGAGCAACCAGCAGGAGGTGCCACAGTGGTGAGCACAAACAACCCCTTACAAGGACAAACAGGAGACCATGCAGTGGTGTGATAGAAGGGAGCAAATAATACAATCAGGCAGTTACTTAGGGCTCGTCTACACACAATAATTGCCCTGCACTAACTATGCTATGCAATTAAAGCAGTACAACCTCCCTGTCTGCCCCATATTGGCATAAAGTTGCCTCAGATTTGTATAACTATTCCCTATGGGAAGAGGCATAAGCGATACTGGTCTAACTGCATCTGTAGGGAGGTTGTACCAGTTTTAATTATTTCAATAAAACAGGACATCGCTGTACTGTACAAAGACTGTGCGGAGAGCAGGCCTGAGAATAACATTTGTGCTTTTAACTAGCAGTGACAGGAACCAAACACAGACCAAGAGGCAGCAAGGCAAAGACATTTCACCCACTTTGCCCCCCAGCTGGCAGGCCCAGTGCCTGGGCCATCTCCCTGGTGCCTAGTGTCCATATGTTTTTAAAAAGCAAGGATCTCAGCATTGTGCTGTGGGGGAGGCCTTTCAATCGGGCCAAAGCTCTCTCCCCACTTACAAAACAGTGGGCTCATCTCTCACCTTTGCAGCCTGTTTCCATTGTTCCACCATCTTCAAGGTCACGGTGATAAAGTCAGCTTTCTTCCGCTTGACCGTTTCCTCCTCCTCCTCCTCCTCGTCACTTGCTTCCTACAACGGCCAGAGACATTGACAGGGTGGCGCTGGGTTTGCAGATCAGTCTCCGTTTCCCCTGCCCACCACTGCCCCTTGAAAGGAAAATCAAGTGGCTAGAGCGGCTGACAGGAGGTCAGGCCATGTCTACACTGTGGGCCTACTGTAGCTGTGACGCTGTAAGTCAGTAGCGTAGGTGCAGACTGCAGTGACCAAAGGGGTGTGTCTGCCACTGTAGGAACTCTGCCTCTCCCAGGACCTAGATGCATCCACACCAGGCGTTAGGCATGAAAAATCCACACCCCCGCGTGCGGTAGCTACGTCACCCTACATGAAGCGTAGCCCAGACCTTGGAGGCAGTGGATTCTCCTCCTGGCTCTGTCACTAGCAACGCGTACGACTCAGAGGCAGTAAGAACAAAGCCCTCTACGACCGCAAACAGACGTCACCCCCAGAAAGAGCTCACAGCCTTACACAGGCACATGTGACATACAGGACAGCAGTTCAAATACCAGAGTGTGTGCAGAAATTTACAGCGCCTAGCACAGTGGGGTCCTGACCCACAATGAGGGCCCCTAAGATCTATGGAAATAAAATAATAAATAATAGGAAGAAGGGGGCCGTCTGGAGCGACTTGGAGGAGAGTAAGGGTGCTCTGCACGTGGGAGACTCTCCCAAGTGTGCGGGTGGGAAAGTGCAGAAAGCCCAGGGAATGTGGAAGAGGAGGACCATTGCCAGATGTCAGTGTCTCCATGTAGAACAATACCCTATCACCTCACAGGGATGCTGCAAGGCTCAGGGGGAGGTGATTGGCTGCTGGAAATACTAGATTATTGCACTATTATTATTTAAATCAACAACTGGTTTCCAGGCCACCAGCCCTAACTGCCTGCAGACCTTTGAGGAGACATTTCCCTACTGCTCTGTACCATCACACACCAGAAGCAAATTCAGCCGTTGCACTGAAACTCACAAGCAATGGTTATGCCATGAAGGTAACCTATTTTAAAGATGCCTAAGATACTCCTCCATCCTCCAGAACCCAGTACCTCGAGCGTTTCAGGCAGAGTGTGCAGCCCCTTCTCCTCCTCGTCAGAGTCGTCTGAGTCATCAAAGTTCAGCAGGGAGCGGTCATTTTCTTGCAAGAACTTGTAAAATTCAGGATCACGTTCCTTCAGCCGCGAGAGCTGGTCTTTGTGCTCAGTTGCCTTTCCTTTCTTCACGTTCCTGATGGAGGGGGATCAGAAGAATTAAGATCTGGTTATTTATTCAGAGCGGAAAGTACGTTAGGAGTTGTACAAGCAAACCAATCTAAGCTGTTCATAAAAGCCCAGACTCTAAAATGCATATGCTTAAATGCTGTCCTAAATAAGGCTGGCTTTCCTGAATCAGGGCCACAGTGCACAGGATTCTGGGAATCTTTCACTGCTTGCTTTGGGAGAAAACCCCTTTGAATTGGTAAAATAAGTTTTCATTCACATCTTTTGCTGACATCCTTTGTTCAGAAAGGTCCTTCTAAATTCCACAGGAAAGCAAAAAAAAAAAAAAAACTGTCCTTGGAATCTGCAAGGGAACACATCACTTTGGAAACTTGGCAAAGACAGGCCAGAAGATCATATCACCTTATAATACAAACCAGGTGCAACGCTCTGTACCTCGGGGGAATACCATACACCCCCCCCCCCCCAGGTTCATCTTTATAAAATGATTGTGTGGTATCCAATGCAAAGTTTGTCATGTTGGGCATCTTCGGAAGGCTCGTGATGAACTGAGCATGGTTGTTATAGTGATGTTATAGTAATTGTTACAGTAACGTTACAGGTTATAATTTTTCATGTATATAGTTATGAGGCTGAAAACGTATCCTCATGACTTAAACAAGCACAGGCAAAAACTCTCCAAGAACAGAGAGGCAGTTCACACCTCATCAGGTATGGGACAAACCCAGCCCAGCCTCACAGGAACAAAGGATACTGGGCTAGGCAGCAACAAAAGAATCTGTTAGACTCTCCATGGAGTCACCCCCTTCCCTTGGTCAATTTGGAACTGTAGCTCACGAAAGCTCATGCTCAAATAAATTGGTTAGTCTCTAAGGTGCCACAAGTACTCCTTTTCTTTTTGTGATGAAGTAAAGCTCATCTGAAGAGCGGGGGGGAGGGGGAGAGACGGGACAAAGCCAAGAGGGAAAAAAGGACATGATAAAAGGGAGACACATTTGCCGTGCGCTCTCTCTCTCCCACCTCCATCTACAGACACCACAGCAAGCGACCAGAGTGCTGATCAAAGGGGAGAGCCTGGCTGAAGAGCAACCAGCCAGCCTGTGGTGAGAAGCATCTAAGTTTGTAGAGACATGGAAAGTGTTAAGATCACTTAGAATGTGTTTTGCTTTTATTTCATTTGACCAAATCTGACTTCTTGTGCTTTGACTTATAACCACTTAAAATCTATCTTTATAGTTAATAAATCTGTTTGTTTGTTCTACCAGAAGCAGTGCGTTTGGTTTGAAGTGTGTCAGAGACTTTCCTTGGGACAACAAGCCTGGTGCATATCAATTTCTTTGTTAAATTGACAAATTCATATAAGCTTGCAGCGTCCAGCAGGTATAACTGGACACTGCAAGGTGGAGGTTCCTAGGGTTGTGTCTGGGACCAGAGATATTGGCTGGTGTCATTCGGTTGCACAATCCAAGGAGCAGCTTACATGCCAGAGGCTGTGCGTGACCAGCCCAGGAGTGGGGGTTCTCACAGCAGAGCAGGGTAAGGCTGGCTCTCAGAGTCAAGGATTGGAGTGACCTAGCAGATCACCTGTCCGGATAACACCAGAGGGGAAAAACGTTTTTTTTAAAGTTGTCTTGGGGAAAACAAATTGTGAAATGTTGACATTTAAAAACCACTTCAACCAATAAATTCCAGCAACTTTTCAGTGAAAAATTAGTACGACAATCTGATCTTAGCTAGCTCTATTTCTACAACACCCTAACATTCTGCTAACAGAGAGGCAACGTTCTAGGGTGCCAGTGAGAACAGCCAAAAGTTCACACCAGATTTTCCAACCAAGTTTAAAGGCCCATTAATTCTACACATAGCACCAAGCCTGGGGGCCCAGCAACAACAGTTGCTCCCTAATCCAGTTTGGATTTGTACCATAAACAGGACTTTACTGTGTCCCTCAGCCAAGCTACAGTCCTGGGACATGTAGCCAATTAGGGGATATGCTTAAAACATGGCTAGATCCTGTCCACATTTATAGCTAGAACAAACCAATTTAGGAAAATCAGTTCAGGGGTCAAGCATGTTGTAACTGAGCCCCTGGATTCTATTACTGTTGTAGTGTAGACGGACGCAAAGAACAGTGCTTTAGAAGGGATTAAATAAAGCTCTGTGTAAATTGGAGCAAAGGGTTTCGGGGCTGAGTGCTTTCGGCTTTGCCACTGGTCTGCTGGGTGACCCTGGGCAAGTCACACCTCTCTGTGCCTCAATTTGCCCACCCGTACGATAGGGATAATGCTACTGGCCTCTTCTGTAAATCACTTTGAGATCGACAGATGAAAAGAGCTATATAAGAGCTAGGGATTATTGTTTTCATTTTGTGGACAAAGCACCAGTATCTCAGGCTTTATTAAGATGATGTGCTTAGAACTGAAACACTTTTTAAGGTGGGTCAGTGGAGTGGAAGAATCTGTACCTTCAAGGACTGTTCACACTTCCCCAATCAACAAGCAGCCACACTTACTTTTCTGCAGTTTTAACTTTGAGTGGCTCCTTCTTCTTTCCTCCTGCCAGGCCATTCTGGCTTTGTTTCCGATTAGCAGGCTCTTCCACAAGCTCTGAGGTCTCCTCTTCTGAGTCACCATCAACTTCTGACTCAAATCCGGAAGTTAAAAATTCATCAACGCTCAGCTCTGCCAGTTTTCTAATTCCAGAGGGAGAAGAGAAACAAGGTAGGAAGAGGGAGGAAGGGGAGAGGATTAAGGGTTTTAAATCAAGCTGATTTTGACGCTCATATCATACAGCACTCCTGCCCATTCCCGACTCCCACCCCGCAACCAAAAAAGAATACGTACTCAGCATGATACAAAGTATTTACCAGAGAAAAACAGCCATCTCGATAGTTAATGTAAGATTTCAGTATCCCAAATTTTACTCATGAAGTGGGTCCACAGGCTTCACCTGGCCTATTCATAAGGGATGCAAAATATCTGACCCAAGAAAAGATATGGTCCTTTTAGTCTAGTAGGAGATGCGTGTTTCTGATCAGTATCAGAGCCAACATTCCCAATAAACCACCTTTTGTTGAAACTACAGTATAGTAATAACTTCTGACTTTACCTGATCCAGTAGGTACAAGGTTACACACAAAACACAGTGCTTTACACCCCAGAAATCATTTAGAAAGTGCAGGAAGCTCTTACAACACCAAAGACCAACCGCTTTCTGTTTTGTAGCTCACCAAAAGCTATTTAATTTAAAGGCTTCCCACGTTTTATTTCAACCAGGAAGAGGAATTACAAGATGAACAGCCTGTTGACTTAATAACTAGTTTATAATCACACACTTTAACAAAAGTTAACGGCACAAGTCTCTTTTGCAGCCCGTGCCGTTTTGCATAACACGCAGAAATACTATCACTTGTTAAGGATGAGAAGGGATCAATATCTTTCTAATCACTGCTCACTTTTCAGGGGCCATCACCTTAAGAAATTCCGGTTTGAAGAGAGGCGATTGGATACAAATGTAAAGCTTCCAACCACTGTGTTTGTACAGTTCGTGGCCCTGATCTGTGACTGGTGCCCCAGGGCCCTATCACAATTGATGATAAATGATGCCAGTATGCAATATTCATAAGAGGTGCCCCCAGCTCCAGGCTCTCAGTGACCCCGGCCCAGAAGCAAATAAAGCCTGCTATAAGCATGGCTCCTTTCACCCCAAACACCTTCCTCGCTGCTACACAAAACTCAGCTGGATCCCGCTCAGACCACCCACAAACTGCAGGGATGGTCCCCATCCAACTCCGAGTTTTGCAGTTAGGCCCTTAGGGGGCTTCATCCGGCCCCCCAGCTCTGGACACCCCTTCCCTGGCCCAGAGCCTGGCTAGGAACTATAAATGCAATGATCGCTCTCCCCAGCCCCCAACACAGCCCCTTTCCCATACACCTAAGGGGGCAGCCGGGGGGGGGTTCCCTTGTGGGGGGAGCTTTTCCCTTGTGGGCCCCCCCTCCCCAGAGGGGAGTCCCTGGCTGGTGCATTGTGCAGACTCCTTTGGGGTTAGAGCAGCTGGAGAGAACCCCCCCGCCCCCGCCAGTGGGGGTGCTAGCCCATGGGGGGGGGCTAAGGAGGAATATTTTGGAAGCCCCCCCAACACATACTAATAATTAATCCCCCGCCCCACCAGCTGCTCGGGGCCCTAAACAACCGCTTGGCTCATGCCTAGCGCCGGCTCTGAGCCGCCGCCCCCCCGGACCCGTGCAGCGGAGGCGGCGCAAGCGGCAGCCCCCGCGCACGTGCCAGCGACCCCTGGGCCCCGCGCCTCCAGCCGCGAGCCCAGCGGGCCCGCCCGCGCGCCGCGCTCACCTCCTGCCGCCAGCCGCCATGGCGCCGCAACGTGCCTCTCCCACAATGCAGCGGCCGAGGGGGAGGCCGGGAGGGTGGATTCCTTGGTTCACGAAGGTGGGGGTGCAGAATCGCCACGCGGGAGGGCGCATGACAACAGCTGCCTCCGCAGGCTCAGCTGATTACGATCTAGGAGGGGGAGCTCGCTCTCGGTTAAAGGACCTGCACTGAGTCAAGAGGAACAGCAGAAGGACCATACTGGGTCAGATCCGTGCTCCATCTAGCCCAGTGTCCTGTCTTCTGACAGCGGCCGGGGACAGATGCTTTAGAGAGAATGAACGGAACAGGGAATTTTTCCAGTGACCCATTCTCTGCTCTCCAGTCCCAGCTTCTGGCAGCCAGCCAGCCAGGCCAGGCCTACACTAGGAAATTAAGTCAGTAGAACTGTGTCGCTCAGGCGTGTGAAAAATCCACACCACTGAGCTCTGCAGGTGAGTTGACCCGAGTGTAGACAGCACTATGTCCACGGGAGGGCTTCTCCCGATAAGTCTCTCATGGAGGTGGAGTATTTTAAGTGTAGACCTGTCCTCAGAGACTTAGGGACACCCAGAGCATGGGGTTGCCTCCCTGACCATCTTGGCTAATAGCCGTTGATGGACCTCTCCACCACAGAACAAGCACTGGTTGAAACTGGAGATAGGCTTGCTTTTTGAGCTCTGAGTCTCTCTACTGATATAGAGACTGAGATTTCAGTATGAAACAGCAAACACCAACCCTTGAAGCACATTCCTTTTTAAAGACATCAGGTGATAGCGCTCTAGGCTGGATTTGCATAAGTGACTAGTGATCTAGGGTGTATAGGTGCCCAGTCTGAAACTCCTCCAAAAGGCCTGGTTTTCAGCACTTTCTGAAAACCAAGCCCCTTTAAAGTGCCTCAAGTTGGGCACCCAAGTAACAAATTACTTTGGCAATGTTGACTTGAATCTTTACAGAACTCTCTCTATGATATCTCTGAGTATCAATCGCGATATCTATTCTACATAGGTTCTTACATACTGAGCTACTGTCACTCGCGTGTGGTTCCTTCTCTCTCTTACCCCCTACCTAGGAGGAGAACAGTGTTCAGTGGAGTGTTTTGTTTTGGTAGGAAGGTGGGTTTTTAAAAAGTGCTCAGAGCAAACATGTTTCAAGATTGAATGTGTATAATTTAATACCAAAATATTCTCTATCTCACATTTTCTACAACACATATAGTTTAATATTTAACCCATGTTCTTGACTATTAAAATGTCTCTCTCATACCTATTTTATAATGCTAACATCTATTTCTCTCTGTATTTACAGACACACACACATAAAGAGTGGTTTTAGAGTAGCAGCCGTGTTAGTCTGTATTCGCAAAAAGAAAAGGAGGACTTGTGGCACCTTAGAGGCTAACCAATTTTATTAGTCTCTAAGGTGCCACAAGTCCTCCTTTTCTTTCTACACATAAAGATTGCAGTTCTGCAAGAACTTACTCAAATGAATCCCTTTAGGCAGCTATGCATGTAAGTCTGTTGGATTCAACGGGGCTCTGCAGGAATCCATCCTCTTTGGGGCCTTACAGAAAACTGCATTCCTGCGGAGGAAGGTTCCAATGATTTTGGATCAATTTTACGGGTTTTTCTTAAAGTACTTCCCTCCTTGTGAAGGGGGTTGTGGTGTGTCTGTGGCAATGGGACACTTTCAAATCTCACCCCTTTGTTAAAAGAACCTCTCTCATCCAACCTGTTCCCAGCTTGCCAGTCCTGATACTAATTATTTTAGAGGATTTTTTTTTTTTAAAGAACGTGCCACTTTTCTATTAGGATTTTTAGTACCGTTGACCGGCGTCTCCAACCCAGCAATGGAAGGGAAGGTCTAGAGCCAGACCGCACAGCCCTACTAAATACCACAGGTTGCAATTCAGGAGCAGGCGACGACTTTACACGGAAAGAGCTGTTATTGCTCCAGACACAGATTAGAAAGGTGCACTGGGGAGAAAAGGAAGCCCCTCTGTGACACACTCAGAGCGGAGGGCGAAGGGGGGATTTGAACCCACGAACTGAGTGCAACTATGGCTGAGCTGAGCCAGTAGGATACCGTCCTGTCTGACCAAGCCAGCGCTAGCTTCTAGCCCCCCCCCCCCCACAAGTTTCACTTGGGTGAGTGTGCTCTGGGAAAGGGTCTTTGTTATTTTTTGCACGGAGGGGGAGAGAGGCATTGGGGAGCGCAGCACTGAACAATGGGGAGGGAGATTGAAGGTGGACTCGCTGCAGAGCCACACATCCTTGCTGCGGTCTTCTGTCTCCATCATGCATGCAGCCGGTGTCCTGCGATTAACTCCTTTTGCAGGCTGATGCGGTACAGTGCAATGCATCCCCCCGTCTGCTCTGGTTCCCCTCCCTCCCAGGCCCCCATTATCTTGCCTTGCCTTGCAACAGAGCCGGACCATAAATCACTTTTGCAGCCCTTTGTTTCTCTGCTGCTGGAGCAGCTGCGGTTGCGGGATAGGCAAGGGCTGGTGGGGAGCCCGCAAGGCTGAGCTCTGGTTGGCCGAGGCGGCCGGACGGACAGACAGACAGACAGCCCCTGATTTCTTGCTAATGTGCCTGTTCTCGAACGTACGTCTCTGCTGCATTTAAACCCGTGCGGCTTGGCGGGGTTATTTCAGGTGACTTCCCTTCGGAGAGCTGCAGCTGTCAGACCCGGCGCGATTCAAAGAGGGGCTCACCGGCTTTTAAGGCCTGTGTATATTAAATATATTGCATGTTTGCAAAAGGCTTTCGGGGTGGCCGGGGGGGAGCCGTGGGGAGGGGTCAAGTGCAGTTTAAAATCCCCCTGTCCCCGCACGACTCCAGGTGCAGTGGCTAAAAGCCTGCAGTACTGCGCCCTGCATCCAGGAGACCGGCTTTTTAAGGCGGAATTCCCATGACTAGAGGCCGCTTCCGCCTCTTCCCCGTCTCCCCCCCTGCCCCCGTGGGGTGGGTCAGGGCAGGCTGACAGCTGCCCCCGGCAGTACAGAACCCGCATCACGACTTTTGCTGGGCCAGTGGTTTTGAAAGAGCGGGCAAACGTGTCGTGCTGGGGAAGACTGGGGAAGGAGGCGGAGCGGCCTTAAAAGTCTTGCCTGCACCTGGTTGGTTTACATTTGCGTCAATTTCAGCCCTGTAGAATTTGGGGGGCTCAGGACAAAGGAATCGGGAGCTGGCGGCCCTCGGACCATCGGAAACCTGCTGCCTCCCATTGCCCAGCGTGGAGCGAGAGGGGGGGGGCTGCTGGGTGGTCCTGAAGAATCAGCAGCGGGGGACAGCGCGCAAACACGCACCCAGCATCTTCCGAGGAGATCCGGGCGCTGGAGATTAGCGATGAGCCATCTCCCTGCACCTAGATCTGTAAGTATGACCGAGCAAGGAGAGTCGATACGGGAGGGAACGGGGAATGCAAAGGAAAAGGACCCAAAGCATCTTCTCCCCCTACCAGGCTTTTCTGCCCCTCATATTCTGTTAGTAACAAGAGTTGGGGTTTTTTTTTTGAAGGGGGCATAGAGAGTCGCAATTTCTCCTTGAGAAGTTGTGCCCTGTCTTACGACTGTCATCAATTCCCGTTGCAAAAATGAGCTGTGTGCCAAGTGGGATTTGGTGGGTTTGTTTGTTTGTTTTTTGTTTTTTGCTGAATTGTAGAAGTGGGAAGCGCTCCTTCCCATAGCAGGGCAGAAATTAGGGCCATATATAGCTTCTGATGAACCAGGCACTTTCTCCTGGCTAGCAGGAGAGGCTCTAGTGAATTTGCTGTGTGTGTGTGTGTGTGTGTGATGTCCCTCTCAAACGATTGTTTTTTACCCTAGGGCTGATAGAGCAAAACCATGTAAGTTCCGCACCATAAAGCTAGTGAATTTCTTTGCAAGTTGATAGAGGGTTGGGATTACACAGGGAGTGCCCTGAGGTAACATGATGCCTTTTGTCCAGTGAAATGTTGTAAGGACATATGCAAAATTAAGTTCTCATTAAACCTGCCTTTTGTGTCTCTTACTTATTACCAACCGGACCCTAACACTTAGGCTTTGGGGTTTAAAATCCATTTTATTCCCCTGTGTATAGCTGATCTAAGCAAGTTATTTTAAAAAGTCCTGGGTTTTAAATAGCTGATCTGCTTTAGCAGTCTCTGGTTGCTGTCTGTCAGGATCGCAGTGCCTTTTTCTATGCTGCTACAGTTAAGCATCTCAGTCCTAAATAGGACTGAACTCATTAAAAAAATACTCTGAGCTGAAGCCTCATGAGATTCGGAGGCTCAGAAGGGAAGTTTTCAGCCTTCTAGGTGTTCTTACAATTCCATTCATATTAACCCTGCAATGGGAAAGATGAAATCTGAGCACCCTGTTAGTCTTGATATTCCCCACCCTGCCATGCAGCTGAAACAGCAAAGGTAGGAGTACTGCTACGGGGAGACCCTCCAAGCCCGCTCAGTTGCACCAAAGTGGGTTTCCCTGCCCCCCTGCTGTGGCTGCCTTTGAGGTGGAGAGAGCCTCCCACTGTCACTGTAGTAGCTGTGACATCTAGACTGGCCGAACCAGTCCCAAGTAGGGGTGGTCTGATTCATCCAGACTGCCTCAGCTCGGTAACCGAGTAGAGCATCCCCTCTCTGAGGAGCTGTCGGCTTTCAGATAAGGTCGGTGGGACCCAGGCTGTTCCTGAGGGGACTGGAGGGAAGAAATGCACGATATCTGCTGGATGGCCTTGCCCACCAAGGTGTGGGGTTGACAGAAGGTATAGCGGTCAGCCACTTGCAAAATAGACCTGTGTCCTTTCTGGCAGGTTAAGGCCAGTGCAGAACCTGTGGGGCCCACTTTGATCATTCATGCCTCTCCAATGAGAAATAATCTGCCAGCCGCCCTTGAGTGGCGGTTAGAGCCTTCCACAAGAAACCATCTCCGGGCATCAACAGTTGCTGCCGGGCAAAGATACGGTTGTGGCTGAATTGCTCCACTTGGATTTCGTGGGTTGCCTGGGATCTCTGCCCGTCTGGCTATGGAATGGAGACGATGGATGTTGGTGGGTGACATTCCCTTCTAGCCATGGACACAGCTAAAAAGTCCACATGGATTTGATATGATCTATCCACCACTTCCACCCTCCATGTCTGCAAGGTGTTGACTC